CATGTAAACAATACAACCATTATGGAACTCAGAATGAAGATTCCTCAGAACACTAAAACTAGAGATTCCTTTTGACCCACACATTCCCTGTCTGCATATCTTCTCAAAAGAGTTAAAGACATCAAGTTACAGTGCTCTATAATTTGATCGTACAAATCCATAATTTAATATGAACCCATGTTTACAGCAGCACAGTTCATAATAGCTAAATCTTGGGGCTGGGGATTTAGCTCAGCGGCAAAAGCGCCTGCCTGGCAAGCGCAAGGTCATGAGTTCGGTTCCCGGTACCAGAGAAAAACAAAAAAAAAAAGCTAAATCTAGCACGTGGCCTATATGTCCATCAACAGATGAATGGATAAAGAAAGCAGGATTTATCAATGGAGCACTACTCTGCCGTAAAGAAAGAGAGACTTGAGACACTTGTAGGAAAAAGGATGCACCTGAGACTATAACGTTAAGTGTAACAAATCAGACACATGAGATTAAATAGGGCATGGTTGCTCTTCTATGAGAAACCCAAAATATAATTGAGGAGTGAAATAAAAAATAGGTAATAGAAAATAGGGACACAGATTATTTGCAAAATGGAAGGGACCAAGAGATTGAGGGAGAGGGGAGGGGTGAGAAAGGAAGAGGATGAAAAAAGAATTAAGATGGTTATGTACATGCACCAACGCACCATAAGGGATGTAATTATTATACAATGTACTGCAAACATGTACTAATAAAAAAATAAATTTTTGTCTTTTTGAGAAGGGGTCTCGCTATGCAGTTCAGGCTGGCCTTGAGCTCACTTTGTAGCCCAGGCTGGTCTCAAACTCACAGCGATCCTCCTGTCTCAGCCTCCAGAGTGCTGGGATGACAGGTGTGCACCACCATGCCTGGCAAAAAACTAAAAATTTTAAAACGAGAACTGACCATCCATCCTCACAGTCTAGGGTGGTCCAGCACAAGGCCAAGTGTCTCCATGTCCCAGACTGCGGAAGCATCTCAGCTCACAAGTCACATTCCAGCTGTTCACACACATAAGCCTGTCATTTAATTTACTTCTTTTCCTAATGTATTTGGATGCACAAAGGAGCCAGGATTGCCCATTGAAATTTACAGAGTTCCAAGGAACTGGTCCCACATAAGCAAGTTCACTAGCAGCAGGCATAGAGGGTCTCTTAATGAGACTTCCAACTAGGCGGTGACACGAACTGGCCTCTGATAAGAAACTGAAGGTACTGGGGGACTGATGTGATACTCACAGCTCTGGGAAAGGGGCGGAAAAGGGACTGAGATACAGTCCCTTCACATGCAACTGAAAGTCTTGGGCGATGGCCAAGTCACAGAAGTAGGCTGGCACGCTAGCCATATTACTAGACAGCCACCCATTATTTTGTCTCCTACATGAACCTGGACCCCAGAAGACTGGACTTCTCCCTCTACCGCTCATCACCCCAAGGGCCTCTGCTGGGGCGTGTGACTTGTGTCAGTCTGTGTTTTCGCAAATATAAAGAGAAGAGTGACAGCACTAGGAACAGCTGAACATGCAGACTGTTTGCCTTATGCTAGGCACGTTGCTAAGTGCTTTGCGTGTTATCATGCGAGCATAGCCTCTGAGTAACCTTGCAAGGATGAGTATAAGAAGACACTAGATAACCCACATGTGCTTTGCAAGAACAAAGCACTGCACCAAAACAAGAGTGGACGTCCTCATCACAATAATAACCGATGGTCCGAGATGGGCACTGTTACGGTCCATCCCCAAAATGCACGAACACACAACACTGAGCAAAGCAGGAGACCGCCTGCCGTGGGAAGGGTGCAGAAAACGAAAACTTCATGGAAAGAACCAAGAAATTCTAATCACTAATGACTTTTTTGTTTTCAAACGGTAGATAGGTTAATATAAAGAATGATCCAGTTATCTGTTCGATTCAGGCAGATTTGACGCCCAAGTTCAACTGAAGGAATAAAGGGCTCCTTCCTTCCGGTTAGACGCGCATTTATCTTGATGCTTCCAGACAAGCTCCCGCTGGGTTCTACTGAAGATTTCTCCAGTCTCTAATGTCCTATTATTATTATGTCTGTGAGAGACCACAAATCGTGTTTCTGATCACATTCTAAATTCTACCAGCGTCTCAGAGGACAATTACCTGGTGAAATGATTGGCGGGGAACCAGTACTTTGTGTTAATGATTTGGAGTTGGGGATGTTCATGGAAGAAGAGTTTGGGGTCTTAGAGGTAGCGCTGACTCGGGGAGGAGTATCAACGCTGCTGGTCAAAAGCAGGAGCAAAAAGGTGCAGAAGCCTAACTGGCGCCCCTGAGCCATTAGCTCTCCTTCCACTGCCTCAGAAAGCAAAATGTGGGCTTTTATATTAATAACAGTACTAAAAATAAATAATAAAATAACAGGACTAGTAACCAACATTCCTTGGCATTCACGGTGGCCAGAAAGTGTCCTGAGCTCTTTACATGGATTGGTTTTCTTTGATTCTCAGAATTACACTATCAGAGATATGTCATTGTTAATATTTCGTAAGTGGGGAAACTGAGGCACAGAAAACTAAGCTATTCACTCAGTGCTATAAAATGAATAAGTGGCATTGTCAAGATTTGAACCCAGCATATCTGAAGGTGGAGCCGGTGGTCCACAGCCCACACTCACAATTCTAGATTAAGGGGAGGAGGAGCCCAGAAAGCTCCTGTCAGGGACAGACTTGAGAAACAGCCAGCAGAGTAAGTTCATGGTGTAGACAAAAGCATAGGAACTGGCGGAAAAGCGAAAGTCCCCGGCTGGAGCGAGGGATGAAGGTCCAGCACCAGGGTCTCTTCTCCAGGCACTGTGCTTTCGACAGCTTATGGTCTGGAAAAATAATCCGGATCTCGAATGTTTCCCTGAAGGTAATACATCCTCTCAACTATGACGTAACCAAGGCCTTCCCTCCCACTCGCCAAAACAGGAAAGTTGAAATGGAGCAAGAGGGAAAGCAGGAAGAGGAAGATTTAATGTGAAAAAGATGGATGAAGATAAGAGCAGGTGAGTGAGAGAAAAATGAGAGGCCGGTGGAAATCAAAGGACAGCGATAATCGTGGGGACAGTACCAGGAAGGAAGGCGCAACGATTGGAGAAAAGAAAGGGAAGGGAAAAGAGAAAGGACGGAGGCCTTGGGAGTCTCGGCAGAAGGGAATCCACAAACTGCCTCAACAAATCAGATTTAAGTTTTAAATCTAAGACCAGCTGCCACAACCTTTTCCCACAGTGAGGTTTTCCTCCTTCGCTCGCTGGTCTGCATGTGACGCTCTGGTGCTCCAAAGAGTGAGACAGCAAAACCCTCCCTGTCCGAGTGGTGCCGAGGAGCATCCCGCCCGCCCTCCAGGGTGAGACGCAGCTCCTCGGTTGGCGACAGGCTCCCTGCAGGCAGGAAGGGCAGACTGCGAATCCAGAGCTGGGGCTCTGAATCTTCCTGGTTATACAGTTAAAATGTGATTCCCCAACAGATTTTTGGAAAATGGGAATCACTGGAAACCATGTTATATTTTCAGTAAAAGAAAACATTGTTAATCGTGCAAGTTGTTCATTTGGGAGCTGGTGAGCGATTTGTCCACAAAATGAGAGAAGAAGAAGCTGTTTGCTGATCCTATAAACCTGTGGAAATTGTGATGATGATGTTTCACCCCTGGTCAAGGAGAAAAGAATTCGCAGTAACTACTTTTTCCTTTTTGTCTTCTACAAACATTCATCCGTGACTCCAGCCTTCTCTGATCCCATCTAGCTCCAACTGAATTTTCTTTCCTTTCCCAATCAGAAAAGCTTTCTTTTCCAATCAGAAAAAATTATTCATCTGTAAAAGTCTCTTGACAGGGCCATGAATCACAGTTTGAGAAAGACAGTATTTCAGCTATCTCCAAATGTATCCATATTTTCTTTTTTAAAAATTTAATAGGAAAGCAATCCCCAGGAGCAGTGAAATAGATCATTGGAAAGCAATAATATTTCCGGCTACAATTAAAGCCATGATTAAATATGTAAGCCTCTGGCAGGATTATGAAATGGGAATTTCTCTCCCTGAGTTTCGATATACCAAGTTTCCTAACTTCATTATGGAGGTGAGAGCCACCTCAATTTTCCCCCTCCTGCAATCCCTGTCATCTAGGGCCAGAGCTCCCCGAGCCATTGCCCAGCCAGGTAAAGACTCTTGAAGCCTCCTGGCTTCCAGCTGTGCTGTACCACCTCGGATTTCTAGTGGATGAGGGTGTTCTACCCCGGGCCCAGGTGACAGAGTAGCCGGTGCACACAGAGGACACAGAACTCCTAGAGGGAAGTGGGCCCCTCACACAGAGATGTCTCAATTACCTCTGTGCACACAGCTCCAACACAAAGCTCATGTGTGGCGCTTGGTAACCAGGAGTAGGAAAGCTTGGGTTTGTTGGGGGAGTCGGGTCAGGGAGCAGTATGAATTTTAAAAAAATCTGGCTATTTGCAAGAGGAAGTGTTTAAAAGAGAATTTCAGTTACTCCTTATGCCATGTGAGCAGCTGAAAACACAGATTAATTTTCCAACTACTCTGGTTTTAGAGACTTAAAAAATAAGGGCTGAGATGTAGCTCAGTGACTGAGCACTTGCCTAGCATGCACCAGGCTGTGGGTTCAAACTCCAGCACAACCAGGAAAATAATAACAAAGGGAGCAATCATCTAGGCTGAAAACAGACACCAGTGTATTCATTCAGATTTTCAGAGCCAGTGGGCTGTGGCTGGCCCTTGACACTGTTCTCCTTCGAGCATCTTCTGATGGAGTGAATATGTCAACTTCTGACATCTATTTTCTCACAAAGCATGCAGACATGACTTACAACTCACTTAGCATTTCATTAAAGCTGATCTTGAAAAAGCTACATCAGCCCCTGTGATCACTTGACATGCCTAAGTGATGGGACAGCAGATCTTTCAAAATGTTATCCATTTCAGGCTGACTGCACACTTGTCATCAGTTTGCATGCAGCTCACTTACCTGGGAGACCTGTTGCTCCAGGCAGACCTTTGGGACCTCTTCCTGGAGGGCCACGCTCCCCCTTTTCTCCCAGCTCACCTGCGTTTCATTAAAGAAATGTTATTTTCCTATATGTCTGTAAAAGAAACTTCTTTATTCCTAAACATTAAGCAAAGACAAAATTCAGAAAACAAAACTCATGGAATTACCACAGCTGAAGGTATAGAAAACACATAACAAGAAGAAATCAGGTTCATCACATGAATAAATCAAAGGGGGGGAAATCAGATGATCATAGCTATAGACACATCATAAACCATTATATTTTAGATATTTCCTACAATAGATGTTATAGGCACTTTATTACAGGTACTTTATTATAGATACTATAGGTATTTCAGGAAATGGAAAAGGCATGCTTAGTAATATAGTCAACCAAATAAAAATCAATGACTAGACTAACCTGATAAAATATGCATCTCAACCCAAAAGCTAACATAATGCTTAAAAGAAAAGAGCAACTCTGCTACACTCAGCTGCATTATTTCACTTGAGGAGTTAAAACCGTCCCTGGGCTGGGGATTTAGCTCAGTGGCACAGCACTTGCCTAGCAAGTGCGACGTCGTGAGTTCGATTCTGGGTACTGGGAAAAAAACAAAAAACAAAACCGTCCCTATTTCCAGATGATAGAAACATTTATTTTAAAAATCCAGAAAATCAACTCAATTGCTGCACATGAGAGGAGAATTCGGTAAACTAGCAGGGTACAAAGTTAATATACGAAAATCAATATCTAGATAATACCAACCACCAACCAGGTACAAGACATGGTGGAAAGGATACCAACGGCAATTAAATTGTTAAATAAGGAGGAATAGGCTTCACAGGACCTATGTAGGTCCACCAAGAAAAAGTGAACATCTCTAAAGGGTACAAAAAGGCTTGGAAAATGTTCTGTAATGAAATGACATCATCATAAAAACTGGTCAGTCCTCCCTAAGGACTGAATTTTCATGATTATCCCAATAAAAGCACAAACACATGTTTTTAACCGGAGAAAATAATTCTGGACTTTGTAGAGAAAAACACAAAAACCAGAATAGCTGCGAAAACCTGCCAAAGAAAAGCAATGTGAAGGTAGTTCATCCTGCCAGATATTAAACAATTAAAAGGGTGTGGCCCTGCCCCATGGGTAGACCAGGACAGGATATCTGAAACCTGGCTCAAATACATGGGGAAATTTGGTTTCTAATAAAGGTGGTATCTTACAATGGGAAATTCAGCTCAGTCAGTGGTGGTGAGAGAGTGGGAAATCAGATGTAAAAAGCATTAGATCTAGCCTTCAATACCTCATACCACATTCCAGGATAAATTACAAAAAGATCCAATATTTAGGAACCAGCAGGAAAAAAAGAAAGCATGATTTTAGAACTTAAGATGTGAGTAGGCCTTTCTATTACGATTCAAAATGTGGAGTGTTCCAAAAATCAGCACAAAAAGGCCAACAACACAATAAAAAATGAGCAAATTACACAAGGCTAAAATGAAAATGGCTCTTAAATATTTGAAAAGATCTGTGAAATAACTTTCATCACATAATAAATGCAATTTTACAAAAAGCAAAGATATTACTTTAATCTGTAAGACCAGCAAAAGTTCCAAAATTAAATTAGACATGTATTTAGCAAGCATGTAGAAAAATAGAGCAGTACAAAACAGTACTGAGAATATAAATTGGCACAATCTCTACAAAGGATGATTTGACAGAAGTTCTCAAAATTACAAATGGAAGTTCCATTGTGCTCAGCAATTCTCCTCTAGAAATTTATCATAGAAACAGAGCTAGGGATAGAATTAGAGGTAGAGTGTATGTTGGTATTTTGCACAAAAATGAAATATATACACTGTGTTCACAACAGCCTTGTGTAATCTCAGAATTTGGAGCCCAGCCTGGACAACTTAGCGAGACCCTGTGTCAAAATAAAAAATACAAAGGGCTACAGAATGTAGCTCAGTGCAAAAGTCCTGGGTTCAATTCCCAGTATTATCAAAGAAAAGAAAGTTTAAACATTATAGTACTTCCACAGAACGGAATGCTACACAGCTGTGAAGAAAAAGTAGGCAGCTCTTTGGAACAATCTCCAGGATATATTATTAAGTGAAACAAAAAAAAGACCCAGTCACTTGCTAAAGTAAAATATGATTCTGTTTTTAAAAGGAAGGAGGGAAAATAGATATTCATGCACCCTTAGATATCATTGCTTGTAAAGATATGAAAACTAGCCACAACTATACAGCAGAAAGAATAAAGGAGAAAACACAGAAGGGAGGCAGCAGGGGGAGAAACACTCTTCACAAATAGGTTTCATACATTTTAAAATTTTTGAACAACGTAAGTTTAGAATTACCAAAAATAAGTCAATGAATTTTAAACATGTAAAGTGTGCTGTCAACGTGTCCTCCACTAGTGACTCATTATCTCTAAGGAATAAGCTTTGATTGCAGCCAGCCACATGAACTTCCAAGTCATTATAAGACAGCTGACTGAGTTTGAGAACCCACAGCCACCAAACAAAGCTGCGTGAGCTATCCCGACTCCTGCAGAGCTCCAATCCAGAAACCTGGCCTTGTTAACAAACGGCCTTCATACTTTATTTAACTGATCCTAACTGACCTGTACTGTGCTTAGTAGAAGGTGCTTTTCTACTATTGTTACCTTGCTAGCATGTTGTGATTCTCTTACAATGTTAAGACTCAGCGCCCCTTTGCAACAAACTCTGCGCAGAATCATTTTTCCCTAACATCTAATATCAGTCTGATCTTCTTCAGCCTTCAGTTACATTTGTTATAATTTAAAATACAAGGTCGGGTGCACAACAATAATAGGAAGAATATCGGTACAATCGTCTATACAATAGCCAAATGCTCAAGGACTAATATGAAGCAAATGTTTAAAGTCACGGAAGTTTATTTTGCTGTGAATGCTCCCATGTGAATGCTTTTGTGCTGAATTAACTACATTTTCACAGCAATTTAACCTTACATACACACTGTGGAAGGATACAGGGCTGAGGCTGTACCCACATTCACATAAGCTAGTTTTTATTTCTCATTCATTATCAATATGGCCTCACTATATTAGGACGATGTGACGAGTGTACTAAAAACTAACAGCCTGAGCCTTCTTGTTAATTTAGCAATTTAAATGTCATCACTGTGATTCTGGAGACTGGCAATGAAAACAATCTCCAAACCTGTCACATTTTCTGAAGATATGAGGTGAAGAGCATAAATCACATGTAGCTTTCATATTGAAAGTGATAGTCAAACTTAATTTCACATCTTAGCATAAAGCTACACCAACTTTAAAATGTTGCCCTAGTAAGAAATAAGGTTGCTTTCTTGTGAGGTTGTCCCATTGGTTATCCCTCATAGAAAAGCAAAGTTTAAATGGGTGCTAAGTCAGAGCAGACCATGGAAACAGCTGCTCCCAGCAAACCAGCCCACAGAGGGCTCTATCACCAGACTCACCTACTTCTTCAAATTCTGATTGTATTTTTTTCTGAGCTGCCCAAAAAACAGCTCAGAAAGTTAAAGGTCCACATTTATTAGCTCACACATAAAGTCAGACAGCCAGGTGTGGTGGTGCATACCTCCCAGTGCTTGGCAGGCTGAGGCAGGAGGATGGCAAGTTTAAGTCCAGCCTGAGTTGTCCCAAATCCTCCACCAATTTTTTTTAAAAAGTCTCTTTTTAAAAAGCCTTATCTCAGGTATGCAGGAAAATATAATTTGTGTGGCTCATTATGAACAGTAAAATTCTCATTGCTCCACAGTTGCTATTTATTTCATTTTATTGGCAAGCTATAATTGATGCTATCTCCCTGGGAACAGACTATTACCAAAAAAGGTGTTAGTCACAGTTATGACAAGTATACTTTCTTAAACCTTCATTTCCTCAAAGAAATGAACGCATCTCTTTGACTCACACCAAAATATCTAAAAATACACAACCTTATTCTAAGGGACTTAAAATTAACTCTAAATGTTTAAAAATAATAGCTATGACATGGAAGACTAACGCAATACCACGCCAAGCGAACATAAGGCCAGGTGGCTGTCTCTCACATTCTGCTTATATCCATAAAAAACGCAGGTATATCTACATGCTTAAGGAAGATTGCAGAAAGTAGGTCAGTGTGATCTAACCTTTGACTGTGATTTAAGACATATCTTTATACGCTCATATTGAAAATGCTCCCCTGTGTTTTTCACTAGAGGAAACCAAGATACAGCCTGAACTGTTAGAAGAATTAATAATAAAATAGGTTTCATCCCTATGTAACAATTGCTCTGAGGAAATACTCAAAGTGACTACGGGGTAGAACAAGATGTATAATACCCCTTCCTTGCTAGATGTAAGGAAAGAAATAACGCAGTGCTACACTAAAATAAATCTCTCACTGGCTGAAACTTTAAGTTCTAAAATGGTAGAATATCTTTTTCGGGGGGGAAATTTGAACTGCAAAGCTTTGGATAGTAGAAAACAGTATGTCTTCTAATAAATATTACCATTCATTTACGTGGTGGGTAAGAAAGGTTAAGTCCAGTTACCTAGAATTGTGTATTTCCAAATGTGTTAACAGCACCGATTGATAACAAAAATCTGAAGAGCTCTCCCTGCCTCCACTGCAGATTTCAGAAGTAAAAGTAAATGAAGATACTTCTGTAAAGGAATTCTATGACAAAAAAAGGGATAGGGGAACTGGGGAACAAAAAGTCATTTAGAGATAAAGATTAAACCAATATTCCGTGTCATGGAGAGCGGAAGAAAAATGAGAGAGAAACATGTCATTATCCAGCTGTGCTTGGTGCATGAGCTTCATGCTGGAGACATTCAGATTCCAAAAATACAAATATATTTTTCTTACTTTCAAAGGAGGTGCTTCTGCTCAGCAGGGCCAAGCAGTCCAAGCTAGTCACAGTTCGCTGGGGCTGGAAACTTCCCAGAAAACTTCCCGAACAATTTGCCTTTGTTTTCAGAGGTTCTCAACCCTGTCTGTACTTTGCAATCACCTGGGGAATGCTTTCAAATCCCAATGCCCAGACCAATTAAATCACAATCTCCGGAAACAGGTCCCAGACACGGTAGCTTTTCGAGCTCCTCTGGTGATTCCAATGTGCAGTGAAGCCTGAGGGAGACAACTTGAGACAGGCTCCTCCAGTGTAGCAAGTGACAAGGACATTTTCATTTCTTAAAGGGGAATTTTTTTTACTAACTCAGAGTTAAACTCTGCTCCAAACATGGAGACATCGTTTCAGCCAAAGAAACCCTGGCTGTGACTTGTGTAGCCCCTATAAGGAGTTAGTTCCCTGTCCATATGAAAATGGCGGTTGAGGGCTCCACACTAGGGCTTCATGGCACAAGGATCCCCTGCGGGTGGGCTTGTTAAATCACCCTGCTAGGCTGTACCTCCTTGGCTTCTGATTCAGTGAGGTGGCATGTGGCAGCATCTGTGTTCCTAACAAGGTCCTTGGTGACAATGGCACTCCAGAAACTTCTCAAAACCTTTGCTCTAAAGAGGTGCTGCTACCTATAGGCTACGGCTCCAAGGAAATCAACAACCACCCAGGGCAGTAGAATTCTTAGGATCGGTCTGCAGGAGCACGGGAACTCTCCCAAAGGAGTCCCCTAAGACAGAAGTTCCTGAACTCGTAGCTAAAAGCAGGACAAGGATGAACAGGTATTCTTTCAGAGAAAAGGTCCAGTTGTCTTTCATACAAGCTCTACTCTGGGCTCTGTCTCTGTGATTTGTCCAACCTCTGAGAGCTTTGAAATTGTGCCAGTCTTACAAGAGCCCCCAATTAGAGCTCATTTTTTTAACATGCAGCTCTGCACCTGCCAAAAAAAGTAATTAAATAAATTGTTCCAGCTAAGGATGTAGTTAGCCAACTGCATCAGCAATTCATTTGTAGATCCAAAAAGGCAGCCTGCCTGCCCTCTGACCACTCACACCATAATATTTATCTCTAATTGGAGTACCACGGCATTAAAAAAAAGGTCCCTTTCTTGTTTTTGAGCCATGTCTTTCTGAAGTTCCCCCAAAGAGCTGTCAGTAACTCATTATGGGCCAGAAACTCACTTCATTTAATCCTCAGTAAATTATCCAAGGCACATACACCCTAGCTGACATACTCACCTCAACTAGCAAATACCAGCAGAGGCAATTAGTCCTTCTGCTGGTCTTGCAGAATCCCTTACACACTCACAAACCTATTTTTCTGCAAAATATTGCATGCAAGGAGATGGCTTGCTTTAAATAAAAACAGAAAACCACATACATACTGAAGAAGAAATAAAGTTAGACTGCAACTCAAAGGTGAAAAAAAAATCTGTCAAAAGTACATAACCAGGGCCGGGGATATAGCTCAGTGGCATAAGCACCTGCCTGGCAAGCACAAGGTCTTGAGTTTGATTTCCGGTACAAAAAAAAAAAAGTACATAGCCAATGTCACCTTTTAAAAGAAGGAGGCAGCTCTGATTCATGCTGTAATTTTTCTTACGTCCTGCTGACAAAGTTGGTTAGTTTAACAAATACAAGGATTTGAAGGACGGCCATTTTAGAAAAGCTCTACAGTGACTTTAGTGTCTCCAAAACAAAATGATCTTCTGAAAGGTTTATTTTGAACTACGAATAAGGCAGAGTATAACTGAGCAAGATATTATTGGGAGCTCTTAGCTATCCCCCTGCTGGGTATTTTCCCAGAAGATCTAAAAACATCATATCACAGTGATATATGTGCACCTATGTTCATAGCAGCACAATTTGTAATTGCTAAAATGTGGAAGCAACCCAAATTTCCATCCACCGAGAATTGGATAAGAAAATTGTGGTACTTTTATATAATGGAATATTACTCAGCTATAAAGAAAGATAAACTCGAGGCCTTTATATTTAAATGGTCACAACTAGAGACCATACTCATAAGTGAAATAAATCAAACATACATGTGCAAGCACCGCATTGTTTCACTAGTGTAAAACTTGAAAGAGTTAATTTAAACTCAGAGGTATGATAGACACTGTGAAATGATAGGAAACCACTGAAGAGTAAAGGGCTTCTGGGATGTGGGAAAAGAGAAGGGAAAGAAGGAGAAATTTTGTATGTATGTATATACAGGATAGTTAACATGGTTGTTCTGTCTTCTATTTCTATGCTGAAAGAAACTGTCAATGAGTCTTTGGTTGACCAGTATTGCCTGTTTATATCTGTTTTCACGAGAAGCCACTTTGAAGATATCAATGTGTAATACAACCACCATTGTTAATTCCCTACCACTTTGTTTGTAACTCTGTGTTGTCTGTATTGTGCTTGTGATATGTTGTAAAATGTTGTATGTCTGCTAATGTTTCCCTCCTTTTATCTTTAAAATAAAAAAATAAAAAAAATTTAAAAAAAAAGATATTGAGCAAGGTATGAAAAGCCTGGGGAGATTAATTCTAGTATTGTGTCCAATGTTGTGGGACAAGCAGAACAAACAGAACATGCTATAAAAAGTTCAGCCCCTTTCAAGGCATCTTCTTATCTAACAGGCTATTTAGAGATCAGTCAAATGTGAATTTCTTGAACTTGGATGTGGATTACACCTCTGAAAAAAAGGCAGTCTGTGTTTTTGTTTCCACCTGGACATAATAGCTTACCTTTAGGTCCCCTCAAACCAAGAGCACCAGGGGGGCCCTTAATGCCGGGAAGGCCACGAATTCCCATCTGACCTGGGAAACCATTCTCTCCAGGGGGGCCAGGGGGGCCAGGGGGACCGGGCCTGCCAGGGAGGCCAGAGGCACCGGAGTCCGGACGCTTAAGACTCGCAGCCATCTCAGCAAAATGCTCTAAAAGATAACAATCACAACAATCCAGCAAAGTCAGAAACCTGAGAAGGATGTAGATGAACAGAGAAGTATGCTAAAAGGTTGTGCTTATAACTGTGTCCCTGGAGCTTCCACACTGGGGTAAGAGGTGGGTAAAGACAGATACTTTTCTCTGAGCTTTCTGCCAGGAAGTTTCCCTGGTGCTGCTTTATTTCCCTTTCCCCAGATATATCTGGTCCTGCTATTTTGAGACAGACTGAAGGGAAAGGAGCTTACACAGCAAGTCTCTGGGATGAGTGGTGTTTGGAAGGCACTGTTTCTCACCTGTGTCCTAGCTGGGTATCTGCAGACCCAGGATGGAAAGAAAGATGAGTTTCTTAATAGGAAAGAAAGTGCTGTCCAGAAGCTTTTTAAAAGCCCAGGGCATCATCCAAAATCAGTAGTCAGACACCATTTGAGATCTCTTATCAAATTAAAAGTCTTCTTAGCTTTACAGTATTATATAGCCTGAAATACCGTGAAATTTGTGGCTTCTTAGGACACCCCTCTCCCAATGCTCTTTTCATGCTTGGAATAGACAATGATCATTAAAAGTAACCTGTTTCTTGGGAATTGCCACAGTCTGGCTTAAAAATTAATAACTGGGCTTTTCCAGGAACCATTACACTGATTCAGAGTCACCCAATAAAGTGATGGAAAGTAAGAAAATTTCCCAGTTAAAAATACTCTAAGGGAAATATTTTAGTATTATGTTATTTAAAGCTTTAGGATGTGAAGGTGAATAATGAATTGGAAATAAGCTTCCAGTCAAAATTTTTAAATTATTTAAATGTGAATTTGCCTCATTTAAGCATAAAAATCATAATTTTTTGTATATGTAACACTTAAAACTAAAACAGACTTTCAAGACAAAATGCCTATAATGAGACCAATATTAATTTTTGAATATAGAAGTCCTCATTTCACTCCTGCTCGAGCCTAAAATCTCTACACATGTATTAGACAAACTAGACTCTCTGGAGAGCCTAGAAATAAAGAATACTTCTCAGAACAGAGTTAGTTCCACCAGAATAATTTTCTGTTAGAAGGTTCCAAATGTGACAGGATCTCACTTATAGGATCATTTTGTGCTTCTTCATTTCCTATGTGGTTTCATAACTAGACCAATTCAGAGGCAAATAATAATTTCATCACTATAGCAGAATTTAACTAAGAATTAACACATGTGAAAATATATTCCCACTTTGAAACATATTATGCATTGCTATCTCTACATATAGTTCATGGGTAGAAAGAATATCCTTATGTTTCATATGGGTATGGAATCTGTCACTTAGTCTTCACAGAGAAATCTTAGGAAATGCTAGATACACACTAACAGGTGGAATCTTGAGGGAGAGACACCTGAGAATTTTGTGTTCCAAAGGAAGAGTGTAGAGTGGGACTGGTGGGGAGGGGCGGTGTGCATGCGCGCACATGCGCACTTTCTTGTACACTATCCCCTGCCTTGGAGGGGAAAAAAAAAGAAAGGGAGGGAGAGAAGATAGAGGGAACAAAAAAAAAAGCAGGCTAACACAGCAAGGTAATATTTTACTTTGAGGCTATAAACTGTTATAGATGGCAGTAATTGGATAAAACAGAATTGCCATTAACATTATTCAAAATCTCCCACTTTTAAAGTATACCGAAAGGCACTGTTAGTTACCCTTGCACATCTACAAGCGTAAAATCTTAAGAACCAAGAGTTGATGGTGACAAGTTAAGCCGTTGTGATTTATTTACCTTGCATGACCCTTATGCAAACCTGCTTAATGTGCTGATCTGTCGGTGCTCTGCCCTGGGATAGGAAAGAAACAGGCGGTTTATGCGGGAAGCCGTAAAGAGAACATTGCTACACTGTAAAGTGACAAGAGGCTGGATTTACAAGGAGCTCACAGCTGAGGAGCTGTGGCCAGCGAGCTCCACGACAAGGGAACCCACTCACCGGCGGGCCCTGCGCACCAGGCAGCCCGGTGGCGCCCTGCTCCCCCTGCACACCCCGGGGTCCAGGTGGTCCTCTTGGTCCTTCCACTCCAGGAAGCCCACGAATTCCTTCAGGCCCTCTCAAGCCAGGCTCCCCGGGGTCACCCATCTGGAACAAAATTGTGCACTATATATCCAGGGCTAGGCACAAGCAGTGTGCCTGCTTACCTTTAATATAAGCACTTGTGTGAAATTTGGTTTCCCACATTTCACCTTCTGAGAGGCATCTGTTCAGCAGTTATAACAAGGTGAGGATGCATTCTGCCACCCAATATCTCCCAGTCACTGAGAATTCAGTGCAAGTAAACTTTTTCAAATCTTTACTGTTTATTATTACTTTAAAATTATCATTGGAATCCTGTTTAGTGAAACTTTCTATTGTCTCTAATGCTCTTTTACATTATTATTTTCTTATTCCCTTTAAGGATCTGATCAATCTTCCATTCTTACATCTGGTAATCAGAACAACTTCTTTGAAGATAACAATATGTAATATAACAACCACTGTTAATCCCTATCATTTGGTTTGAAACCCTATACCATTTTTAATGTCCTTGCTTTGTTTTGTCTGTATTTTACTATTGTTCTTTTTTTTGTACTATTTTCTTTAAAATTAAAAAAAAATTAAAAAGTACATTAAGCTACTGCTTAAAGGGAAGTTAGTAGGTTTGGGGAGTGGTTGTTTGGGTTTTAGTGCTGGGAATAAAACTCAAAGCTTCATGCATGCTAAGTACATACGCTATCACTGAACTATACCCCTAGCCTCTGCATTTAGTTTGTAATAATGCTTGTTACCATTTCCCGGCTATAAGAAGACCACTGAATTCCTACAAGATGTTATTTGGATACCACCAAGGAAGCAAACATAAAATAAAGATATTTCCAAGAAAATAAGCCATTTAGCCTTCATAACATTTGAGTGGTGAGTCTGAAGACAGTAGGTGTATCCAAGAATTATATAATACTAACATAAATGAAATGAATACATTTTCACATTTAAAATGTTACATTTCAAAAATTGGGTCAAAAAAGGCAAGTTCATAGTTTACCAAAGTAATAAGCCTAGTTTTTCTTAGTTCATTGAAAAAAAAGGTTTGTGCTATTATCCATTTCTTTCTTTTTTGTTAGAGAATCTTTTTGTCTATGTTTTGTACACAGAGGAACTACTTTGAAGATAATGATACACAGAGTATTAATTTCTGTTATTCTCTCATTATTTTGTTATGAAATTTTGTTTTATATTTTCATAAAATAAAGTACTAAGGAAGTTAAATTTTAAACACTAAAAAGAAGTTAAATATAAACCGTTTTCTCTGTCCAAAAGTGTATGCGTTAGATTTTTTCTGAAAGCAGACTATAAAAAGTATTTAAAAGGATCTTCATCTGCAATAATGCTTTTAAAAGAGACTAAATTAATTCCATTGTGTGGCAAACAAATTTTTAAAAATTTCTCTGGTGGAATCATGGTAGAGCAGCTACAGTACATTGCTGTTCAGGATAAGTATAAGAAGATAGGACAGCAGCCCACAAGCCACTGCTAGTGTTCAAGATATGAATGTTCATGAAGTTACTTAATCCTGCCAGCTTCCACCTGTAGCATTTATCTAGGAAGAGCTACTCTTCCAACATTCATTAATTTCAAGCCCAAGGAAGAAAGTGATGAGGCCATGCTTTCCCCAAGCACATCCAAATGAAGTTCAGCAAGTGAGTTTTTTCTCAATCTCTCTTCATGCAGAAGAATTGATATTCATCAAAGTCAACTTGCTAAAATCGCTTCTGTAAGGAAATTACGGCCTAAAAGGCTTCCAGAAACACGGTGTCAACAAGGAGAGCGAAGATGATACCATGTGAAACGGCACAATTATCAGGTGCCCAGAGCAAAAAACCATAACAGCTTCTAAAACAATGCAAAGAAAAGCCAAAATGGACTCAGAAATGTGCTAAAGAACTGCCAGAAAATAAAGGAAACCAAGTCAGAGTGTACTCTCTTGCTGGCAATAGTTAAAATTTTGCTAGACTAAGGGACAGCAACTTTTGGATGAATACAAGGACAGATATGCACAGGACATCATAAAGGCCCTTGGGTGTTTGGAAAAAAAATTCTTCAATTGAGGAGTGGCGCACTAAAGTTGAAGTCAAGCTATAGATATCTCCTACTGAACAAATCTGTGCTGAAATCAATGAGGAGAAAGTCTTTGTGGTTGGAACTACTTCCTCTGTGTAGTACGGTTCAGTTTCATCAGTATTACTTATGCCGTGTGCATAAGGCAGAGCACGGGAGAGGTGATAAACGAAGGGTCAGTTCCTAATATTATACCCAAATTAGAATGCAATTAACTTATGTCAATCACCACATTGGGATCATTTCTTTTTCTTTTATAACTTAAATAGTACAGCATATTTCTAGATAGCCATGTAGGATTTCTATTACCATAGGTTTACTCTTTTGTTCAGTCCTAAACCATTTCTTTCAGATTCTAAGGCATAAAATGTCATTTCAAACATTGTTTGGAGGCAGGTGAGTTAATACAATGCAACATGTGTTTCAGTAGAATTGCGAGTCCAAGCCAAAGCATCGTATCAAAGTCTGGGTGGGTCTTCCTGGAGAAAGGGAGGCTGAGCATGGATCCAAATGCTCATGGAGGATACAGCTATTCTAAGGGGAGAGGAAGTGTGTTCCAGACTAGGAGAACAGAAAAAGGTATTAAGCAATGTGGCATTTAAAAGAAGTGCAAATGACAAGGTTCCCGATACATAGAGGGAACATGGGTGAAGCAAAGAACACTTCACCCAAAGCTCTGTACAGCTTACTAAGAATCCAACCTTATCTGTAACATGCTATTCTTGAAGTGTTTTGAGTGAAGGAAGGTTACATAGTGGGTTTACCTTTCTGTTATATTACATGGGCTGCTATGAGGCTAATTTGTTGGAATGAGACAAAAGTGTGGGGGGTATTCTAGAAATGGAAAAGACTTGGAAATTAACTACAAGCTGGTCATAGTGGCACTGAGCTTGAGATCTGAGCTTCATCTTTCTCCTATTTTCTTAAATTTCTAATTATATTGGATGAGGATTCCTTTCAAATTGATGTCACTTCAAGTTTCCTATTAATTGGATAATTCTGAATACATCCAATCTCTATGGACATCAGTTGAGTTTCTATAAAATGATAAAATTGAGCAAAATCATATTTTCTAGTTATAATAATTCTCTACTCTATTTTTTTATGCATTATGTCACTATCATCCTCAACTAGAACATGCAAGAGATTAAGAAAACTACTGAAATATCTTGCAACAGTATAACTACCAATGAAATTCAATTATATCATTGTCACCATAAAGCACAAGACAGTTTTTTTTTAAATGAGTCATTTGGGGAGGAAATTAGAGTATTATCATGTAATATTCATTGAACCACTTAAGGTAGATCCATTTATTCAATTGTGAATTTTTTTGTATTGGATTAACCCATTACCTAAAGAATAAATTTAGACATTTATTTTCCTAATGGTAAATCCTTTAAGAATTGAATTTTATAGAATTATTTCCTAAAACAACACATTATATTTTCTAAAGCTTTATTGATTTTTTAAAATTTTTTTATACTACTACTATCCATTATACTTACAGATCCCTTTGGGCCAGGTAATCCTGTATCTCCCTAAATCAATAAAACAAAATTATTTTAGAACAATATATTTACACTTAATAGTTTCCTAAAAACATTTAAAAACTACCATGCTGTTGAAAGATAGAACAGATTAACCTTGGCACTACAGAAAAACATTGCACTTAAATTTGAATTTTAGTCCCCGCTCTGTTATGCATTCTGCGACCACGGGTGAGGGAGATAAACTCCTAGCCTTTCACTAAATGTTCCATTAAATAGTAGGGCTGAATCAGAGTTCTCCAATTTTCTATCCAGATCTAAAATGCTATGCAGCATTAAGATGCACAAGTCCAAAGATAATAAAATCACATTCTGTTTTGATACACATAGACATTTAAAGCTCTCTTAAAACTTCTTTGTAATTCAAACAATATTTTAAAATTTATCCCCAAAAGTCTATCAAACACAATATGCACACTTTTAGGCTTGCTATGGTTTGTATCTAGATGTCCCCTCAAAGCCTCATGTAGTCATAGGAGGAGCTTTTCAGAGGCAGCTGAATCTAGAGTTTGTGATCGATTCATGGTCCAGTGCTGGGACTAATGGTGTGAGTGCTACACCCTCCCTAGGGCGGGTAGCCTGCATACAATATAAGGGGCAGAAAGGGGCTTGTCCCTCCCCTCACCTTTAGCTTTTGCTATTTTCTGTCGCCATGAATGCTTGCCCCTCTGCCATGAACTAACCTGCCTTGGAGCCAGCGGGATATGGACTGGAAACCTCTACAAACTGAGCTAAATAAACCTTTCCCCCTTTAACTTTGGGCATTGGGTATTTTGTCTCAGTAAAGAGAAAAGTAACTAAGGCTTAAAGTAAAAAAAACTTAAAATCTCCCACCAATAATCTAGGTTGTGTTCAGCTCAAGTGTTATCAAATCAGTTAATCTTCACTACAAAACAGAATGATTTAAAACATTCTCTTACTCCATAAAATGAATAAGTTCAACAGAAAATCTGGGAAGTTTTGTCCCATTTAGATACTATCTTTATATTTACTCTAAATCCTGAAAAATCTGGAAAAAGAATTACCAGAATTTTTTTCCTGCCCAAAGCCCTCTAAAGCTATTTCCTGAGAATTCTAACACCCTAGACTCAAAGAACTGAAACACAAGTTTCCCTGCTAGGTCACATTGATGTGTGTCAAAACCACAGTGATGAGCCAGCACATCAAGAAAATCTAGCAGTAAAGACAACCTGTTCTCACTCGTACTGCATTCCAGGAGATTTAGCAGTATGGCTCTTTGGAGACAGGGGTCACTTCTAGGGAGGGTTTCAGAGTAGAGAGAAAGCATCTGGTAAGGTTTGTGAGTCACAAATTCCTAAGTACAATAAAATTTCAGGGGCTGGGGATTTAGCTCAGCGGCAAAAGCGCCTGCCTGGCAAGCTCAAGGTCGTGAGTTCGGTTCCCGGTACCGGAGAAAAACCAAAAAATAAAAAATAAATAAAATTTCAATTTTGCTTCGATGATAGGCCCTATGCATGGACTTTCTATCCTCCTATAAGAATCACCTGCAATGTTTAGGTGCAAAGCTACAAGAAGATTCGCCAACTATAAGGGAATTCTATAAAACTATAATGTTTGGTCCAGCAATTGTGGGGCATTTCCTGTCTGCTTACGTGACCTTGGCTACAATCTTGGAAGTCCTTTGTTAGCTTACAGAAGAAACATATTAGCCTTTAAAGAAGGTGGTGAAGATAACAGTGCCACACACACACACACACACATATACATAATAGAAAATACAGATGTAGATACATTTCTAATACAGTTTGAAATTGATGAAGTTCCATCATTAACCAGAAAGAAGTCTTACAAGATCACCCCTTCCTCCTGCTTCACCTTCTTCACCAGTGGCACCCTAAGAAGAGGATGAAAGACCACATTTTTAATTTCTTAGTCCCATGGGTCGGGTTTAACCAGTCAACATTGATAAGCATTCCTTGGTGCCCAGCATGCCGCAGTACAAAATGTCCGCAATGACTCTCCAATCTGGCTGGCTAGTTCAGCCAAAAACACAACTTACACAGAGACCAGAGGGTGAGACTGGCTTTTAGCAGTTAATTGAGTTTAACTCAGTAAAACTAATAACGATATCCACCAATTTTGAAATTTGGTAACCACTGAAAGAGGGCTCCTACAGTAGATAAAGGAATCTAGGGAAAGGCCAGAGTCTAGTTCATCTACACAGGTTATTTGCTGGTTTGTTTTTTTTTTTTTTTTTGATAAAAAGTGAAAACACTACAATATGGTTTTGGAAGAGTCCATCAGACAGGAAGAAACTGATGTGGTACAGCAGAGAGACAGGGCACCCTCTGCAAAGGAAGGGCTGTGCGGGCCAGGAGGCAGAACTGTCACTGTCTCCAGCTTATTAACACAGAGATAAGGACACAAACCAAACTGAAGTCTAGGTTTCACTCACTATAAAGAACACTGAGAAGCCTCCTGTGTTTTAATGGCACCCATAAGCCGGCCAGGGCCCCCTACTTGTGAAGTGGTGCATAACAAACACTGCATTTCATGCTAATCAACTAATATAACTTACCTGTTCACCCTTTGGACCCGGCTCGCCAAATACACCCTGTAATGAAGACAGTATGACACTTTTTCAGTATTTTGAGCTGCCTGTATAATTTCAAATGAACCAATTCCCATTATTGGGCTGATGGATAAAAACAGGTATGGATAATGGGATGGAAGAAAATGTCCCCATTTCTCACCACCTAACAAGAATCAGGAAGATCTAAAAAAAAAATGACAAGTGACCCAGTCATCTCTTATAACCTGGGCGTCCCCTGATCATAACCACTTCAAATTTCTCTAAGAAGAATGAAAATTTAAAGCCTGATCCCAACAGAAACTTTTACTTTTCTTATCCTTGATTTTTTCCCTTCTGATCATTATATCTTTTGTTTCCTAATTTCACTTCTCAGTAATTTAACATAACTTTCCCAAACGCTCTCTATGATAAAGTCTAGAAAAATGGCTCACTGGGCCAAATGTAAGCTTGATTTCTCAACATAGTGAAAATCACTCTCCTAGATAAGAAACTTTTTGGAGTGCTGGATATCTTACCCTGTCACCTTTCAGTCCCGACAGCCCAGGCGGTCCAGGCAAGCCAGGCAGGCCAGGGCTACCTTGAGGTCCCTGGAAAACAGACAAAGTCCCCAAAGTCACTCTGCAATGCTGGAAGCTCACAAGCAGACGAGGCCTTGGCAGTCCTGGCATATTGATGTGTGCTGTGGTTGGTTAAGCTCGGCTCCAGTGGGCCTCTGTCCCAGGCCCCTCTGGAAGCCTGCCCACTTCCCTAGGGCTCAGCTTCCCTTGGTAATCCTCCCCAACAGCAGGCTCTTTCAGTCCAGCTCCCCCAGGAGCACTATAGCTTCCTTTGCTGTGTAAACAACTGCTGTGCTAGAAGTAAAAGGCAACATTCACTCACAGCTCTTTACTTTTTTTTTAAAGAGAGGGTTTCACTATGCAGTTCAGGCTAGCCTTGAACTCACTTTGTAGACCAAGCTGGCCTCAAACTCACAACAATCCTCCTGTTGATCCTCCTGCCTCTGCCGATCCTCCTGCCTCAGCCTCCTGAGTGCTGGGATTACAGGTGTGCACCACTACACCCAGCTCCACAGCTGTTTTCAATACCGAGAATGACCAGAGGCCAAATGTAGCACTTTATGTCTCTCAGTTTTAAATTGTATACTACAAACCACACTGATTAGAATACCCTCTGAGGATATCCTAGTTCCACATTTACATTTTCACATGCTCATAAAACAATAGAAGTCAAATACAACTGACTTAATGAATGTCTGCAAATTGTTTTTCTTTTCTTGCTTAGTTAAAAAATGTATTCTGTTTTGCAGAAAGCAAACGAGATTTGCAGAAAGCAAATCTGGAGGTTGGGAAGCATTACTTACCAGTTTACCTGGTATGCCTGGGGATCCCATTGGTCCTATTTCTCCTCTACTGCCCTGTAAAACCAAAATCATCATTGTCAACTAGATGTTTGGCCAAAATCAAATGATTAATTACTATATAAATAAAATAACCCAAGTAGGTTTTTGTTTAAATATAAATATCATCAAAATAGTTTCCCCTCCCTTCAACTAAAGACACAGGACTCAGCGATCCTATGCTTATCGGAGACGGAGTGCCAAGTTGCAACCCAAACCACTTACTTATCATAAAGCACCAACACTGCAATTAAACCTGAGCACTGAGGTTTTAGTTTAGAGAAATCAACTCTACATTAACATCTTTCATCTTAAAAGAAAAACAGAGCAACATGCGAGCCATAGGCTCACCACCACTGCCACAGGTGACCATATATGATCCCATATCTATCTTCCACGAATATTCCAATGATGTTCATTATGATTACAAACCATTGGTACTATCTGATTCATATATAAAATAGAAATTAGCAACTTTCAGCATTTAACTCATACTCTATATTACGGATATTTGTGAACATGTTTTTAGATGATGTGCTCTTGAGGTCATTAAGTACACATTAATTTAAAATCCTGCACAGTGCCTGAAACACAGAGTAAATTTTCAGGTCTATGGAACATTGTAAAGTAACACCTGGCAAATTATCTTTTACCTCAAAAGAGTAAAAAGAAAAACAAGACAAAGATGTTTGTCTTTAAATTACTACTGTGAATTCAAAAGACACAGATGGTAGAAATGTATAAAGTTTCTGAGATAAAAATTTCTTTGTTTTACTCATTCTTGTTCTAAATATGTCTTAAAAGATTAAACAGACTTTGAAAAAGTCCAACTCATACTGAAATTACACTAAAAGCAATGCTAATTTATTCTGCAGGCCAATTTTGGATGTTTATTTGAAATCTTAGTTTTCCAATTTTTATTTGAAATTCTAAACCTTTTAAAACTTTTGAGCAAAGGAGACACAAGGACTCTTCAATTTCTTTTTCTGAGAACATCATATGTTTTATGCAGTCTGATAAAAGCTTATTTTCTTTCTTACACAAGCTCAACTAACCGAACATGAGAATATCAGATAAATAATCACATTTTCTGAAAGATGTGTAGACAAACAAAAGAGGTCCTTTGAGTGACTTTTTCTTTAAAATAACATGGCAGCTCCATAGTAATGCTTAATGTTTATAAATATTCCTGGTAAGATTATTCTGTTCTGACCTGTGTGCTAGTCATTCACCTTTAAGTTGAACAATCTATCAACAGCCATAAAGCTTCTGGATTTTCAGTTTCCCTAGAAGACTAAGAAATGTGTCCCAAATTACAACAGCCTCTGGCCATGAGCTATAATTTTGTGACAGTCATTTCATATGACTTGTAGGCAGTGTAAATGAAAAGCTTTTACATACTTTTAAATAACTTTTGTGAACAACCTCTTTGGTATAGGAGTTTGGGATGATACACTGGTTCCTAGGCTTCACAAGCAGCATATAAGCCGGAAGCAGTGCCCTGTGAGGACAGAGGCCCAAGGACATCAATTCAGATGAACACTAGCCACTGCGATTGAGTCTTCTATCCCTCTCGAGGGTCTGGATTCTACTCCTTGATTTCACCTGGAACTTCAAAGTTCAAGACAGATTTTCTTTGGTACATCTGCTTTCTTGGCATTTACAAATAATTTCTCAACTGCATCATGATAGGACCCTAAATGTCTTGAGCTAACATGAATTTAACTCTCAAACAGTCATTGGTAGGAAAAAATTAATAACATCAGAAGGCAAAAGTTTAACTCTTGACAGAACCCTAAGTATCACGCCTAAATAAATGACTCTTATGTTACTTTATCCAAAATAAAGATGATTAATATACTTCTTTTCTATAAATAGACCAAGGGCTAAATTAAAATATAGGATTGATAACCTATGATTTATTTTGGGAAGGATTAATTATCTTCCCAAAGTCAAAGATTTTTCTCTGAAGGAAGCTTACTTTTTGTTTTTCAGAAGGCTTGTTCACTTCTTAACTACTTTCCAGCCCCCGGCAGCCTTTGTAGTACAGGTGAGTGACTCAGCGGTGTACTCCTGAGGGCTGATACTGTCAGACAGTAAAAAGGACCTACCACTGTGGGCATGTACTCCTTTGTGACCGCACAGACAGTATGTGGCTGTTTGTTCTTATTTTGCTTTCATCTTATAAACCCTCAGCCATTCTTAACATAGATATTTCTACAGAAGTCATCTCACTGTGAAAATGATACTGTTACTTTCACAACAGTGACCCAACAGCTATGAACAAACCATGAAGGAAAAATATTCTGAAAACCTTTTCATCAGTATCTGTGTACTTCAAAAATACATACTCTTAATTCTAGAATTCTACGTAAGAAGCTAAGATGATGATAAAAGTAGTCAAGCTATAAGTAAGAATCTCTAAAAACACATATTTAACTAAACACAGTAAGTCACTAACCATGGCCCTGGCAGCCAGCAGTGTGCTAAAGAAATGATAACTCTCTTATGTTCCAACAGCTGTGATGACATCAGTGCCTGAATGGACAAGGAACACTGCCCTTCCCACTGCCTGGTGTTTATCAACCTCATGGCAACATGGGTTCTGATTTGTAATAAGAAAATCAAAAGGAACCAGAACAAAGGCAAAAACCCTACCATTAAAAATGAGACCAAGCTGGGCATGGCAGTACACACCTGTAATCCCAGCACTTGGGAGGCTGAGGCAGGAGGATCGCTGTGAGTTTGAGACCAGCCTGGGCTACAAAGTGAGCACAAGGCCAGCCTAAACTGCATAGCAAGACCCTGCCTCAAAAAAAAAAAAAAAAAAAAAGAAAAGAAAAGAAAGAAAGACCATAACTAAAAGTTCCTTTTTCCTCTTGGAGCCTCCGCTTCCACCATACATCTCTGACAAGTTCAGACTCCTCTGCCAGTTCAGTCCTATTTAAGAAGCCAGATCTTCTCTCCCAATTGTGGCTGTGCCCCTAACTGCTCTGAGTTATTTTTTGTTGTTATTTTGCAGTGTTAGGGATTGAACCCACAGCCTCAAGCATAGTAGGCAAGTATCCCATATTGCCAGCCCCTTATTAGGTTTAGAGATAAGGTCTCATCAAATTGCAAAGGTTGGCTTTAAACCTCTAAGCCATACCAAGACACTCAGCTCTGATCTCTTTAGACACATATTCTACTGGTGTCTTCCTCTATGCTATCTGCCCATTCTCCATTTTTATGCATCTCTCTCTTCCTGATTCTAATTCTGTAGGTCTGCAGTAAGACCCAGGAATGTGTTCAGCTTATGCTGTGTTTATATTTACCGGCTTTATTTAATTTTTGCGGGGGGTAAATGCTTGACACAAAACTTGCATAAATACTCAATTTAAAAATTGCTAAATGTACACCTAGAATTTGGCAAGCCAACCTCAACCAAAAACCACACTGCAGAGCTGTGCCTGGAGCAGCTGAGGCAAAAGAACAAAAAGATGAAGACACAGATGTAAAGCTCAAGTGCCAGATTTAAAGCTGGCTTTGCATTGCATCAGCTGATACCCTCACCAAGCAGCTTCACCTTTCTGTGCCTATTTCCTCGTAAATAAAATGGAAAACAAAGCAGTGTCTACCTCACAGGACTTTTATGGGGATTAAGTAAAATACATAAATCACTTAAAAGAGTGCCTAGCTTATAGTAAGCACTCTAGAAAGGTTAGTATTGTTGTTATCCAAGTGATTACTAAAAAAATCACCCAACATTTTTTTCAACTCATGTTTAATTAAATGTTGTTTGCCTTTCAAACTGCCTAAGATTCCTTAAACATCCAAGTTACTTGGAAAAACTAGATCTATAGACTTCATGTCTCCAAGTTCTGTCAGCACCACTGACCACCAGACACTTTCTTCACAAGCAAGTGCTGGGTGCTACTTTGTAAAAATTATTTCCATAAACACAGACAGATAAATAATTCAAATGGATATGGGCACCTCTGCCCCAGTGCTGATGTGTCGGGTGAGGATGAAGGACTCCAAGAAAAATGTGACAGGCTCCTGTGCTCCAGGAGCATGTGATCTTCAGTAAGTTGGAGGCAGGCCAACATAGTTCTCACCCGACTCAAACCATAGGAATGGGGCAAAAGCTTGGGCAAGGTCTGAAAAGCCTGGAAGATGGGAATTCCAGCAGCTACTAGAAGGTAGGATCAAATCAGAGCCCAGGGTATTTTCCTGCTCTGCACCAAAAGCCACCCAAACCAAGTACAAATCAAGAGAAGTATTTTGGAGAAAGAAATGACAGAAATAGGTGCACATGTGAAATCACTGCAAGGACCAGAATATGAAACTGGCATTTATCACAGCAGTACTAGCAAATGTTGAGGGAGATATCACTGAATTTCGAAGACATACTTCTGGGATCTATTAGAAATATGTTCTCATTCCTTCTACTCAGTTTGACTTCAGGTTTGCAGGAAAAGCTGATCAGACTTCTGAAGCATAGTTGGAAATGTGTGAACTTATCTACTAATGATGTAAAATAAAGAACAAATGCGGCCTTCAGTAAGTAGATTTAGTGTTGAAACATTGCTACAGAACTGTAATATTTATAACATTATGACATTCTTCTGAAAAATTTATAGCAGGTAAGAAGTCAGTTATTACCAATGGAAGCAGAATAGCAGGATTTATTATGCCTCCAACTCAATTCATTTCAAGAAAGATTTATTGAGCATTACCTTATGCCAGGCCCTGAGTAAGGAGATGTAGGGTACCCAGAGTTTAATCAGATATGATCTTGTCTTCCTGAAGTCACCACAGCAAGGGACACCATGGAGTCAAGTGTTGTAGAGCTCTTAATAAGGGTGATTACTTCTACCGGGGGCATAAGGTATTATTTGAAGATATTTCTATGATAGAATGAACCTTTATATTATATCTAAGAGATCACAGGAAATGCAGAGTCACAGACATGCAGGAAAATCCACCAAAATATAGATTCTGATATAAAGGAAAACAGGCAGTCTAAGAAGTACAGAGAATATTCAGAAGTGTATGTAGCTCCCAGCCTGACCAGCACACAAGCTCTGAGCCAGAAAGCAATGAGAAATAAAACTAGGAGGCTAATAGAGAGTTAAGGTTTTAGACCTTCTCTTATGGTCACTGAGAGTCAACTAAAGATTTTTAAATGGAGATGAAAAGTGATGATGGAACCCATGGTTTGCAAAAGCCAACATAGTGCCGTGTGCAGTCTAGGGCACTGCCATTCTCCAGGGCCTTTGGAGTTGTGTTACTTCTAATTGTTACAAAGGCCATGAGACACTCTTAGGGCTCTAGGGTGGACGCTGTGGATGTGATACTTTGTCATGTGCAAGAATCCTGAAGAACAAAGAAGTAGCCCAGCCTAAGTGCCAACACTTCCCAGAGGATGGAAAGACTGGAGCTGGGAAAGCAAATCAGGAGACGACTGTAGGAATCCAAGGAGTCAGCAATGATCTGAGTTGGGCTGGTAGAAAAGAAAGTGAAAACACAGAGTCAAATATAAAAGATCTTGAAAAGAAGATGGAATCAACAGTCCTACTAGAGATGGGAAATGCAATGAAGAAGGAGTGCCAAGGCTGTGAGTCTTGATGACAGGAACAGTGGGAAAAATGTGAAGTCTTACAGAAGTTTGAAAATCAAAATCTGAAATTTAGGCCCAAAACTCTACATCAGCCATTCCTCTGATCCACCTCACACAAGGGAATCAACTCTCCACAACCCCCTGGTATTCTGCCTCATCTAGCTCACTGCTTTACACACCTCTTGTCACTTAACTGGTATTTTGCCAGGCATTCTCAACTTTGTGTCAATTTTTGTGTACACTGCATGGTCCTGGCATACAGCAGGTGCTCAGACAGTGCTCCTTCAACTACACACAACTTTCTGCTCAATAATATGAATCACAGATAAGGAAAACACTCTCCAACTTCTAACACCCCTAGATTGGCCTGGACCAGCTACAGAGCATCTTCATTGTTTAAGAACTCTGGCCTTAGTGCCTCAACAGTTGATTTACAGAAAGTATTTTAACTAGAGGTTTATAGCTTTCAAGAAAAAGACAAGAAAGTAGTAAGCAATGAGCAAGTGAACAAAGAGAACAATTAAGACCAAGAGCTGGTTTCTTCCATTGCAGAGAGATTTTAGGAGGTTAGTTGATGAATATCTATAAGAAGTAGAAAAACTCCACTCTCATGCCAAAGATAGCTGGAAATATTTACTCTTTTCAAGTGTGAAAGTCTTCATTCAATATGCTCAAAAAATGCTTTGAAAGAAGCAACAACAATATGTGGAAATGTTTCTGTGTTCTCACTTATAGTCATCCTGTTATCCAGTAAACTAAAAACAAGAACTGAAATTGAAGGCCAGAAAGAACTTTTAGAGTCAAATTTAAGTATATAATGTTTAATTTTCTAATCAGTTTCTAAGGATTAAATAACTTATGAGAAAAGATACATTGCAGTATCTGCTGTAAGATAATAAGTTTGCACACTCACGTTTAGAGAAGTTTGACAGTTTCTCAAAAGATTAAATACAGTTGCTGCATGGCAAAGCAATTCCACACTTACTTACTCAAGAGAAATTAAAAGATATATCCACATAAAACCCCTGAACAAATTTTCAGCAGCATTATTCCTAAAGGCCAAAAAATGGAAGCAACCCAAATGTCTATCACCAGACAAATGCATCAGTAAGATGGGGTGCACTCACGCTATTAATCCATATAATTAAACATTATTCAGCAGTATAAAGGAATCAAGTACTTATACAAGCAACAGCACAGATGAATGTTCAATTATTATGTTAAGTGAAAGATGATAATGATTTTTTAAATGCTATTACGTGTGTTACCTCACTTACATTAACTTTCCAGAATCAGAAAACCCGCAGAAACAGAAAGTGGATTTGTGATTACACAGACCTCAAGGGACTAGAAGAAATACTGAATAACTGACCGCGTGTGGGGACAGGGATTCTCTTTTGGGTGATGAAAATGTTCTAATATAGATTGTGCTGATAGTTGCACAATTCTGTGAATATGCCTAAAATCAATAAATTATACAGATTAAACAGGTGAATTACACCAAGTGAATTATATCTTGGGGTTTTTAATCACTCTAAAATATTTTCTTTAAAATGGGTTGAGAGCAGAAGGGGTTATCATGCTTATCTTAATCATCTCATTTCCTTTTCTATTTTCTGAAAAGAAGATATGCTGTGAATCTAAATTGCATTCTTGTTTCACTATTCATTGGCGCTACCACAGGCCCAGCCATTAGAGTGCATCTGCGCATGCCCGGAAGTGAGAGGAAGTCTGCGCATGCCCAGATGTGGAAGGGCATCTGCGCATACCCGGGTGAAGGGAGGCCTGCCCAGCAGCACCAGGCAGCCCCTTTGGGAAGGCACTACCGGAAGGGGTACTCACCGGAAGCCCCCGGGGTCCTCGTGGTCCCACCTCTCCTGGAGGCCCCTGCTGGCCCTGTTACAGGAAAGACAGAAAAAGTTAACAGCCCCTCAAAACAACAGGCCGTAACTGGTGAAAGGTAAAATGGGATCTTACCGGTTTGCCTGAATTTCCCAGTTGACCAGGCTTCCCTGGGGCTCCTGTGTTACCCTAAAAGCAGGCAACATTTTTTAGAGTAACTCAGAATAATTGAGCATAATCATCAGTCCGACTCACCCAGCCCAGGTACTGCTTATAATTAAACAGACTTAACGTCCTCATTTCGCATGAAGAATTTGGGAGGACGAATACAAGAAAGTCCTTTAGATTCAAAATACTTTTAGTCCCAGAAGTATATTAAAGTCAAATGTCAAAAAAGGAAATGTTTTAGCTTTCATTGAAAGGAATCCCCTTCAACACGAGGGTTTTCCTTTCTTTATGATGTTAACTACATGTTTTTCCTTTACCACCCTCACCTTTAGTATGCTTCTTTGAGCCCTCGTGCCTCACACTGGCACTGTGAAATTTTTAAGGACCAAGCAGGCGTGAGGAAACAAGGAGACATGCTGTTGAGAAGCCCTGCAAGCCAAGTGCAAGGACAGCACATGCTGGAGATGCCACCTCCGTCCCCAGTGTCACACCGTCAGCCTGTTGGAGATCACGTCTGCACAAGATGGCATGCACCACTAAGATAGGAGGGCTGAGCTACGTACACCAACAGTGACTACTTGCTACACTGCAACACATTTTATCTGTTGCACTCTAAAGCAAAGCTGTATTTCACTCCTTTTGTGTACATCTTTCACCTATTGTTTTTAACTGCTTGCACTTTGGTTCTGTATAGAATATAAGCACTGGCTGACCTGTATGTGAACAAAATGCTTAATATCTTTTTCATTTCAGTTAAATTATCTTAATAATAATCACTGACATAAGCTCTGTGGCTTAATAATGTCTTCCTCATTTTAAGTAGCAAGGAACAATAAAACTTTCTCTATTTCTATGACATTTTCATGAAGCAAATCTAATCAGCAACTTTCTGCAGCTGGGAAAAGATTAGCATTCAAAGCTGGAAAGCTTTTACTTTTTATTTATTTCTCCCTGGGGTTAAACATAAAATAAAGGGTAGGCTGAGAATGTTAAAAATCGTGAAGAAAATATATTAATAAAGGAGTAAAGGAAAATATTAATTTAAAAGTTTAATCTTTTACCTTTTCACCAGAGACACCCTTTGCACCAGGAATTCCAGGTACACCCTAAAAGAATACATAGAGAATTTAGATTTTATCACCTCATCTGAGAAGGCCATGAGATGCCAAGCTGACTGCACATTGACAACCTCCGAGAGTTAGTGGGAGGGAGGTACTTCTTGATTCTCAAACTGAACCATTAGTTATAGAATCACCTGCAGTGGAAAGCCATTGTTTTACCGTATCTGGCTTGTTACGATGAGCACCCTCCAAGCAAATCTTACCTCTAAACTAAGGTTATTTTTGAAGGAAAAACTGCCAAACTAGACTCCATTCCCATTTTCAGGTCAATAGGAGATCTATTAGGCAGGGTAGATGCTACAGGGACCTACCAAGGTTTCCTGTACAGAATAATGAAATTACAGCTCAGTGATAATGCTGGAGTTTGTAGCAAAAAAAAAAAAAAGTGGCAGAATGATGCTAGGTTTCAGATGTGGTCCTAACAGTCTGATTATTTTTAAAATGTCAAATGTCACAACAAACTGGGGCCTGTCTTTGCTATCACATGGAATCCTTTATTAGCTTGAAATATTTGCCTTCAAAGAATCAAGCACACATCTGGTATAATCTACATGAATTTCCAGCTACATCAAAGTAGGAAAACACCATTTTGGATGCTTTAAAACATCACAGAATCCAAAAATGGTAACCTGTATGTACAGCATTCCCCAAAAGCACTCTCAATCCTCTTGTAGCTCAATCCTGCTAACAAAGCTCCAGGCCTGGTTAAAAGGAGGACCAACTATATAATATTAGCCCACTAACCAACGTTAGTAAAACAATATAAGGAAGAAAGTAAACTAAAAAGAGAAGACAGATCCAAAACATAGGTATGAGAAATTACTAGTTAATTAGAGAAAAAGCACAAAAATGTAAAACTATAAAAGTATAAAAGTAAAGCGTCATATCTTCCCTAGAATTTATCAACTTTTGTAACATGTCTCTGCCCCCAAATACCCATTTTTAAAATATGTATAAGCCAATGAACATTTAAAGAATCCAATACTTACTGGTAAACCCTGTAACCCTGCATCACCAGGAGGCCCAGTTTTCCCTGGCTCGCCCTGAAAATAAACAGTTTTTAATGCATCATTGAACCTGTATGAACTACTTCATTTCTTTTAAGAAAGGGAAAAACACAAGCCTTCTAAGTAAAAAGATTTTTCCAACAGCTGACCTTAAGTGCACTTTTAAAATGTAACTTAATGTGGAACGGTGCGGTGGGATGTAGGACATAAATTCAATCAAAACACACATTGTCTTCAGCCTACTTTCAAGGGTCCAATTTTACTGAGCTCCTAAAAGGAAGCAAACAAGTATGCTATTCTAAAAAGAATTTTGGATTTGACACTTGATTAAAAATTTAAAAGAGAAAGAAAGCCAAAGCTGGCTAAATAAGTCTCCTGGTCACGTTGTCATGGAAACTCTGTGTTCGTTTGGCTGGGACAGAGGCAGCCCCACTCACTCCTGGGCTAAGCCACACAGCTACCTTTGTTCCAGGCATTCCAGGTATCCCATCTCGGCCGTCCACTCCTGGCAAGCCCTAGGCACACACAAAGAAACACACTGTTTCTTAGAAATAACCACATTCTTCTTCCTTGCACTACTTTCTAAATTTGTATTACAGGTCAGTAATTACTTTGAAAATTGTGCATGGTACAAACATCTGAGGACTTACCGTGTCTCCTTTGGGTCCGGGGACTCCAGGAATTCCTCTAGAACCTTGAGGACCCTATAGTACAGAAGAGAAAGAAGAAACAACATGTCAAGCAAATAAGCAAAATCAGTGAAAAGCAGGATGCTTGTAGTGGTTAAGAGGAACTTGAACTCACTTTCTCTCCCTTGGGACCTGCTTCTCCTGGAGGTCCTCGCTGTCCTTGGTCACCCTGTATAAAATAAAATGTTAATATAAGCAAAAGTTATTTATTGGTAGACTTTTTAAAAATTAGAATGTATCATCGGTTTTACTTAACTATTACTCTTTGATCACAATGGCTTTGATCTATCGTGGATGCTTAGCTAAAGAAATGTTTTCATGAGGGATTGAAGCAAGGGAAGGGGAATGAGAAAAACATAATCAAATTACATCACATACAGGTACAAATTCCCTATGATGAATGTGATCATTGTAGATACCTAAAATGTACAAATAAAAATTTTTGGAAAAAAAGAAATGTTTTCATGAGCGATTGAAGCAAGGGAAGGGAAATGAGAAAAACGTAATCAAATTACATCACGTAACAGTTACAAATTCCCTATGATGAATGTAATCATTGTAGATACCTAAAATGTACCAATAAAAAATTTTGGAAAAAAAGAATTGTTTTCATAAAAATTATGTGGCCTTAAAAATTGATATTAATACAAGGAAAATTGAGCCTTGCATGTCCTTTGTTTTTATTTTAAATGCATAACACTTCTGTACTATTTGGACTCACACATAAAGTAAATTCAGTCCCACACTGCGGGTGACAACGTCAGTAACTTCATCAATGATTTAGATCTAGATGGCCTCCTAACACCCCAAGGGTCATAGACAAGACCTTTGGAAGGTGACTGGATTAGGAGGGCTTATAGCTGGCTTGCTGCTAGGAGGTGGGGCCTGTTGGATGAGGAGGGTCACTGTGGACATGACCCCAAAGATTCTGTCCCCCTCTCCAGCTAATCCCTTGACTCTGTCTGTTTACTGAGCACCATGACATGAGTAGCTCTCCCTCCGCTATGCCCCTCTGCCATGCTTTCTGCCTGGGCACCAATCCAACCATGGACTGTAACTCTGAGCCCAAATAAATGCCTTTAAATTATGACTGTCAGGTACTGTGTCTCAGAAGAAGCATGACAAAAATGATGAAGACAATCTATACTGACTAGAAAATTGACTAACTAGATAACTAGATAGTCTCATTCACAATTATGGTAGGTCAAGGGTTGGCTTTGTCACCAATATTTTTCCCATGTTATTTAATTCCCCATTTAATAATAATGATTTCTGTCAAAATTAGCCAATTAATATTGATATGGTATAAGTGGTAACAGATGAGAGGATGTATCTTCCTGAAACACAGCTTTTGTGAAAAATTGCTTAATCCTTCCAAAACCTTGAGTGCCTCTGTATTGCTACTAGAGCAGACGAAGTTGTTCAGAATAGCATCAAACATTCTCCACAGTGTGGTTCTACCTTATCTAGTGAATTTTGTCTTTTCAACACAAACTTTCCCATGCAGGCCGTGCCAGCCTCTCTGTGGGCACACTCAGCCCATGGCTACCAGCAGTGCCCTCCTGTACCTGGCTACCTTTCCTTCCAGAATGGCATTCCAGACCAACCTTTCACTGAAGTCCTCTAGCATGAGTTATTTTTGTTCCATGTTCTAGCACCTCATCTTTTAGCTCATCTTGAGTTACATTCTGTCTCTTGTGCTGGACCACACGGCCTTGATAGTTGGAAATTCTATCTTGCTTAAATTTTTTCTGTGCTATAAGTGATTAGTAATGGGTGGCTTTTATCTCTTTGCCTCCAAAAAAGGCTTAGGCAGCCTACATCGATGCATGTACATAAAGTAATTCAAATAGAAAACAATGAGGTCAGAATCCATAGAAGATGAAAAGGCTAGAACTACCCAGAAACGAGCATAAGATAGTTACTGTGACTCTAAGCATCTTGACAAAATGAAAGGAAAACATCAAACATAAATACTTAACAATATAACTTATCTGATTTAAAAAATATTCATATCAAAGAAACATTTTCCTGTGACCAAGAAGGAGATAATGGACCTTACCATGGCTTTTTAAATAAATACAAAATTATTGCTCATTTTTCCACATTAATTATTCATATATATAAGCTACTTGAACATACTGATATATATGTGGCAAAAAATTTTATTATTGCTAAAATATATGCATGTGTGCATGTGTGTCACTGGGTTTATAAAAGGAAAAGCACTTACAGGTGCACCAGGAAGACCTTGAGGTCCAGGTTCACCATCTAAGCCCCGAGCACCCTATAAAGAAAAAAACACAAACAAAGGAACTTGATATCAGTCACATATGTTCAGTGGTGTATCTATATTTCTATAGAAATGCACTAGCCAGACAAAAAGGTCTTGTGTTTGTAACAATACCATATTTGTCAGTGAACTCAGAATAGAATTTAATCAGACACTTCAGGTATGAAAAACTCATCACATCAACAGTATTTAAGCACCATCTTTGATAAAACTCTGAACAGCTTATATTAACACTGCACCCATTTGCTAATGCTCACAGGTACTAAATACACTGGTACTTCTACAGAGAACCTGACAAATCCATTAAAGGGGGCTTGGTGGCCACCCTCCGAGGTTCTCAGAATGTCCGTGGGACTCATTAACAGTGAAGGCCACAGGGCCACCCTCAGCAACAGTGGACTCCTAAATGCCACAGCTGTGAGGGGATTGCTGGGATGCTGGGTCTCGCCCCAGGATCTAGGGCAGAAAGTTTAACCACGTGACTCAGAAGAAAGAACCCGAGTATCCTGAGCATTCTAAGCAGCATCCTTCCCATTGAGCGTGTGATGGGTTCAGCTCCGGTACAGTGACCTCTTTTTTCAACAACAGACCACTCTACCACGCAATGGCACAAAAGCTGATCCACACCTTTGGAAGCCTAATTATCTGGACATGGTCTCTGGCTTGCCTACATATTATAAACATCACTTCCTCATTTTCATTATAAGAATCAAAATGCGATCTTTAAAACAAAATACAATGTGTTGGCATCTTTACATATGCTCTTTGACAAAAATAAAACTTCTACCTTTAAATTTTCTTATCTACAAAGTAAAGAATAAACCAAATAACAAACAGAATGAACCTAATGAGCTGGGTTGAGCAGAGTGGATGATAAAATAGATTGACAGCAGTTAATGAGTATTATATAGATGTCAGGCCAAGAAAGCCAGGTGGACAGCATCTGTAGTAAGAATTAAAACTCAGAAAACCCTTGATAGAAGGTTCAGACATAGGTAGAATCAAAGACAAAAGCACAACAGAAGCAGAAGGAAATTGTTTGATGCCTAAAAACTGGAACAGAGACATTCTACATTCATTAGGGAAGAAAGAATTACTTTGATTTTCTCTCTCTCTCTCTCTCTCTCTCTCTCTCTCTCTCTCCTGTTCAGAGTTAGCTCAGACCCAAACTGCTGTTACTAGGTAACCACTCCATGGTTGAGTTCACAAGGAGAGCTTTTTCTTTAAAGCAATTTGACAGAAATCAAGAGAAAAGAGGAATTTTGAAAAATACCGAATAGAAAAATACCTCAAATAAAGAGCATATCAAGAACAGTAATTGGCTTCAAAATGAAGGGTCACATATTTTAGGGGATGTTTTAATCCAGAGAAAGTGAAGGTCTAGCTATCAGCAACATCAAAATAAATGGGCTTTATGAACTAATAAAAGAAGAGATGCAAAATGTTACTTTAGGTAACACAAATATAGAAATATACAAGGCTAATATGTTGTTTTAAATTCAGTGCTTTTAGGACAGAAATATTAGAGATAAGATAGAAGAAGGAGGTAGGCAGAAAGAAAATAGAAAAAACAGAGAGGCTGAAAAAAAAAAGTAAAATTGAAATAAAAAATGGTAAATAAGCCAGACCATCAATCCACAAAACTATGCATCTCTTTGATTTAAAAAAGATTTCATTTCAGGTATGAGATTTTCAGGTATGAAGCATTAGCAGTGTGTGACCTCTAGGTATTTGTTAATAAAAGGCTCTGTGTTGCTATGTAGAACTGACCTATTTTTATCTTCATGGCTCTGAGAAGGTAGAGGCAGGTCGGACGAGGAGGGGCAACGATGATATTTAATTTTCCAAGGCCAATAAGCTGGTTTTCCCAACATTTACTTACTGAGATGTAAGCTAACTGTTTTCTGAGAGCGAAGCAAGACACACCCCTCATACACACACATAAAGGAAAACATTTCTGAAGGCCTTGTAAATGTGTGAGTATCATTCTTTCTCCTGCAATGTTGGCTCGGCCAACTTCATCCTTCACCATCAGTAGCACCCCACAGCATGGGCCAGGCATCCCACTGACCACCTTCCTGGGGCCTCCAGGTTCCCTTCTTCATCTGCAAGCCCTCCTGGACCTGCCTTCAGATTCACCAACATCTCCCTTGTTGGCCTTACACTTAGCTGTCTGCATATTCCTCTCTCAGTAAGTGACAAACCCCATGCAGGCCTTCTACCTCTGTAGATCTTCCTAGCAGCTTTGAGCAGTCCTTGCCATGGAAGTGCTAGGAAAATCTGCCTTCTGCAATTGGCTAAGGGTAGGCTGGGGTACTCTGCCCCAAGTGTATAAATGCAGTTTTCAACAGGGCCCCCTGGTTTGTGAGCCCAGGACACCAGGGCATCCTGGAAGGTAGCCTGCCTTTTTCCCTCCTTTCTTGCTGCCCTTGTCTCTGCCTTGCTTGGCCATAACCACTATAGGCTGTCAGTGTTCTCTGTGAAAACTGCTGAGAATGCTCAACAGACAAAGGCAATCCACTTACTCTAATTTCTCAAGAGAGCAGACATGCAGAATATAGTCCTCTGTATCCATAAGTTCCACAGCCGTGTATTCAATCAACCATGGATTACAAATATTTGGAGAATAATTGCTTCTACACCAAACATGTAAAGACATTTTTTCTTGTAATTATCCCCTAAATAATGCAGTGTAACAACTATTTACACAGCATAGGCTTTGTATTAGGGATTGTAAATTACCTAAAGGTGATTTAAAGGCTCACAAACTATATGCAAATAGTACTGCATGTTACATACGGGACTTGAGTGTTTGGTATTCTGGGTGAGGCTGGATCTTGTAAACAACCCCGTGAATACCAAGAGCGGACAATACGACAAGTATCATACATTCTGCTCATTTATGTCACCCATGCTTACAACAGAAATGTGAGACCCTAGCTACACAAAGCATCAAGTAAGAAATGACGTTGCTGCAAAAGTGATTGTTAAATGGCCATATTTTTAAATATTTAATACACTTTGATATTATATGATTACCATCACCATCTTACTTTTTCTCCTTTGTCCCCAAGTATGCCAGTGATGCCTCTCAAGCCTTGAGCTCCCTGAAAATAAAAAAGAAAAAGTTAATTATTCTAGTTAAAGCAAACATTTTTTAAAAGTCTTATCTCAGAAGCTGATGCAGAAGGAAGATGTTATCATAACCAAAAGTAATAAACAAACTGAAAAGAGACAAATTTTTCTTGTTTAGAAGGAAAATTCCAAGGAGAACCCTGAGGGCAAAATTATACTCAAATTCTGGAGGCTTATTCAAATATTTGACAGTTGAGTTCGCACAACTATTTGATAACCAAAAAATAAACATTATTAGCATAAGCAGAATTCTGATAATAGATTTAACTTATCTTTTAACTCATGTACAGAATTTTCGCTGCTATTCCATCATAGTTTATAACTTAGTTACATGGAACATGATTTTAAAACGAATAAGGGCTGGGGATATAGCTCAGCAACACAGCGCCTGCCTGGCAAGTGCGAGGTTGTGAGTTCAATTTCCAGTACCAAAAAAAAAAAAAAAAGGTTGAATATTTTTCCCCCTGATGTATGCCACCAAAAGTGGTACATTCCAAGAAAACCACAAAAGCCTGTGAACTAGAAATCAACCACATGTAGGCACTCTTCAGTGGTATTTCATTTTTATGATAAAAGGCATTCTGAATTCTTCCCTTGAAGTAGGAGGAACTCATCTCACCTCATCTCAGGCACAGGAGTGAACCATCCTAAAAATGTGGGGGTGCTGTGACTTGTAGAACACCTGCCAATCCTGAAACGTTGCCAGCTATATTCTTGGTCTATGCAGGAGAACTCCAGAAACAGACCTTGTTTGCTAAGGGTGAGCCTACGTGTCCCCTTAGGGGCATCTGTGGCCACATGCTTCATAGGAAAGAAGCTACTTTCTGGACATCTTGTAATTTTCCACACTGGTTTAAGATAAATTAGCTCTAGGCCAGTCATTTTCCTCATGTTCTTACTGGGAGAAAACAAGGCAAGTCCATGACCAACTCTTTATGCGTATCAGTCACACATTCTGTGTACTGCAGTCAGGGGAGCGTTGCAATGCAAATGTGAAGGATGATCCAGCTTAGGATAGCCACTCAGGATTTCAAGAGAAATGTAGCCATGTCAAGTTAAAGTTCTCTTTCTTGTATGGATCATTTACCAACTCTGGAGGTAATTCTACACAAAGAATTCAAAAAGTACGTGAGTCAATAGCAGTGGCATGAGAATCTCCACATGGCCTCTGAAAGTGACCACTTTGAGGGACATAGTTTTATATAAATATACCAAGAGGTATGTTTTTTAAATTGATGCATTACTATATATATGCATATATTCAAATATATATTACTGTATATATGTGCATATATATTCAAAAAGTGAACATTTGTGAATTCTATGGAAACGTTTTGACATCCCTACTCCCAAACACCAAAAGGACCAGAAACACTACTATTATCTCCCAAAGGACCAGAAACACTGCTATTATCTCCCAGGGAACTGCTTGGGCCATACACCACTCAACTTAATCTTTGAGAACTTTTGAATTGCTACTGAATTTTCATCATATTAAAAGCAAATCCAGGTATGGTGGTGCACACCTGTAATCCAAGCACTCTGGAAGGATGAGGTAGGAGGAACCCAAGTTGCAGCCTAGCCTGGTGGGCTAACTTAACAAATTAGCAAAACCCTCTCTAAAAATAAAAAATACACCGGGCTGGGGATGTAGCTCCATGCAAAGGTCCTAGGTTCAATCCACAGTACAAATGAAAATAAAAACTAATTTATACTATTCATCACTATCTCCCACCCATGAACTAGGGGCCCAGCCCCCTCTCTTTGCTCATCAGAGGCTCGGGCTAGGTGAGCTTCCAGAACAAACACTGGACTCCTCCATGGAGTCCCCTAAAATTTTCATGTGGTCTAAAACCAGAGCCCATTTCTTCCAGATTCCATGACTTGTTTCTGTTACCTTGACTTCCCTTAAATTCTAGGTAAAAACTAATGTGCACAGCTCCTTGATTCTTTTGGAAAAGGTTGGTTCCATGAACCAGCACTGGGCAGATAAAAGGTGTTCGTATTCCCTCACCCTTTAGCATAATACCTGAGCCTGTCTGTTACACGAGGTGTATCCAGGCTAGCTGCAATATTCAATGACTTTTCTACATCTAGTATTTCCATATTTTTCATCACTCATTTTGACAAGGAAATAGCAGAACAATTGCACATTACTGTAATCCAAAAATAACCTAACTTTTGACTTTGCAAACATTTTAAATTGAAGTACTTTGATGCCCAGGTACCTTAGATATTATTGCAGTAGTCCTCCTAAGCACAAGAGACTAACATTTTATTAAAGGACATGATTCTGAACAAATAATAATGTTCTAATAAAATGATTATGTGCAGGAACAAACTACATTACTCTTGTGGATTTGATACCTACTGCCTATTCTGGGTATACAAAATTTTCTCATGATATCATGTGACAGTGTCTTAGAACATAAAAGAGACATTATTATCTTGTGCTCAATATTTATTTTCATACTGCCTGGGCCTGGAGTCTATTAAATGAACATTTGTAATTGTATATACAATTTTTAGTGAAAATAGTCCTTTGAAAAGGTAGTTATCTCTCATTGTTGGCTTTGTGGGAAAAGAGAAAGCACTACATTGACATAATGTTATTAATCTACATGCTAAATAGAAAATGCTCCAAGAGTCATTGTAAAAAATATTTGTATATCCTAGTGAGATATTTTAAAAAATACTTTACTGGAGGTCCTTGAGCGCCAGCTTCTCCTGGTTCTCCCTGGTCACCTTCTTCACCCTAACAAAAAAAAATAGCACAAGAAACGTTTAAAATAGCAATGAGCAGAGAAGTGGACTTGGGTGTTAATTTGCTCCCTTAAATTATTTTTTGCGCATAGTCCAGAGCATAAAAAAAAATATGCAATATAATAACCATTATTAATTTCCTATCATCTTGTTTTGAAATTCTACATAGTTTTTATTGTTTTTTATCATTGTCTTTAAAATAAAAATAAATAAAAGAGCAAAAAGTATACCTCAAAAAAAATACACAAGTATATAAAAATAAAGTTCCCAAATCCCACCATTCAACCGTAAATACCAATGACATTTTGGATACTATTATTTCAAGGATTTCTAAAAAGAAAGAAAAAAAAAAGGAGGAATTAGAAAAAAGAAAACATGTATACACTTATGTTCCAAATGTGTGTGAGATGGTATACTGTTAAGAAAAATATGATTATTCTATGCAAATTTTCCCATAAACTATGGCATTCTTTAATTATGATTTATATTTTAGCTTTTCTTATTATAATATCTTACCATATACAACTTTTAATGTAGTTAAATTTGTCTTTTCTTTCATGAGTTATACCTTTGATGTCACTGATAGAAATACCTTTTCTGCTCCAAAATATAGAATTATTCAGCTGTATTTTCCTTTGAATAATGCTATCATTTAATTTCTTATGTTAAAACCTTTATCAGTATTTTATTTTCATGTAAATTGTAAAGTAGAAATTTATCTTTTTTCCAGAGAATTTCCACTTAGTTCAGTATCACTTATTGAATAATTGATACAGCCCACACAGGTCAGAAAATTCATCTTTCACATCCATTAAATTGTGAAATACAGTCCTAGCTGTTAATTTAGCCCTAGCTTCCTACTGTCCTGCAATGATCTGCTGTATGATGGTGCCAATGCCTTAGCATTTTAATTTTGAAATTTTGTAATAAATTCTCATCTCAGGTACATAGAATTGCGTTACCTTTGTTTTTCACTTATAGTTACTCTTATTTTCAGATTTCCTAAACATTTACTCCTCCAGATGAACCTTAGAATCATTGTGTAGATTGTCACAAAAATACAACTTGTTTTGTGTTCAGAGTGCATTCAGACTTTCTATCCTAGAAGTCATTGTATCTCCCTATCAGTCAAATGTTTTCCTTTTATTTTCGTGAGTAGAGTTTTCTTCTTTTCTTCATATTAAGATTGACTATTTGCTAAGTTTATATGCAGGTATTTTGACTTCTTAGTTGTTATTTCCAATGGAATCTTCTTTCATCATATTTTCTGTTACATTCACTTTTTGCTGCTTTATAATATTTAATACACATTAGAATGATAGGGTATTCCAAGAGGAAGTCTGACTCCTATCTCTAATGGAAAGATTACTTTATAGACTGAGAAAAGTTACTTTCCCTCTGATAAATATTTTATATTTTTATAATAGATATGCCACCTCCCTTTTTCTGTGGTAATAGATAACTTATGAAGTCAGTCATGAGAACAAGTCTTCATTTATAATTTAATGATGTACATAATATTATACTGAAACGCATTTCTACTGCATATTTCAACTAATTTTCTTGCTCCATAGACTAACATATTTAGAGATTTCACACACACACACACACACACACACACACACACACACATACACACACACACACAGTAACAGCAGTGTTAATGTAGAACATTTAGACATATAATGCTAGGTTATGTCTAAATCATTTGTACTTGTTTTTAAATGAGTTATAAGAGTATTGCATATTGGTTTTAGTCGCATAATTATAGTGAGATTCTATTCCATTAGGACCTATGATTGACAGTCGGGGTAGCAGTAACAGCTCCAGTTAAAAGCCCAGTGAATTAGCCAGTTCATGGATAATCACCACACATAGATCACTTGGTTTTTTTCCTACAAAACTATAAAATTAGCTACAAAAAAAATGCAGGCCTTCACAATTTTTCCAAGGCGGGGTAGGGTGTATTTTCCATAGACTTTCCATGAAACTTGGAGTAATATATTTGAGTTAAACATTTCACCTACCGATAAAAAGCACCACCTAACAGATAACCACATTTAAAACAACAAACTTAGGAATAGTAATTTACTATCACTTTTCTGAAAGATTTTTGAGTGAATGCTGATCTGCCATTTGAAGTTGTCAATACCATATTTAATTATTGAAATTTCCCATTTATTCCTATATTCAGAAACAATCTCAAAAATCTCCATTAACTAATTTGTAAAATATGTTCAAGGCAAATTTGTGAATGAGAAAGCGAGTTTAAGGCCTCCCCACTAATCTACATGATGCTACTTTCATTTGCGGTGTAGTCCAACTGTTAGCCTCTTAGGGTCCATTCTTCAATGAGCAGTTGTCACCCTATCTTACATCAGGTTTTCAAAGGCACCACTTAAAGTTCTGGGTGACACAAAAGTGTGAATTAAACTAATGGAATTTTCAACGACATGTAAAGAAAATCTCAGCAAGTTACATAGCACTGAAAAAGTAAGTGGCAAATTTCCCACTGAAAACCAAACCAAATTGGAGAGTCTAGATAACAACTAACTTGTGTAGGTACCAAAAATAATAGTTTGATGGAGAGTGGAGAGACCTTGATTGACAACTCCATCCCCAAATCCCATGAGAAGAAGGAGTAAACATTGCCCAAAGGAAAAAGAAGGGATACAGAGCCCTGAACATGCCAAAGTCTATTTTTTGAACATGATTTACTATTCATATTACTTCAGGGATATCATTTGATGTGTAATGCCATATTCTTGCATGCTTATTTTTATGGTTAGCTAACATTTTATTATATGAATGTCATACTCAATTTAGGCTTTTTTGTTTTGTTTTGTTTTGTTTTTTGTTTTGTTTTTCTCCGGTACTGGGAACCGAACTCACGACCTTGCGCTTGCCAGGCAGGCACTTTTGCCGCTGAGCTAAATCCCCAGCCCCGATTTAGGCTTTTAATTGAACATTTTTTCACCTTTATGCCCCAGCACTTAGAATAAAACTGGCAAATACTAGGTACTCAATAAATATCTGTTGAATTTTTTCCTTTTTATTTCTTCTTATTGTTGTTGTTTTTGTTTTGTTTCTTGGTTTAGATTGGTTTGGTTGGTACTGGGAATGAAACACAAGGCCTTCACACTGAACTGTATTCCAGCCTTTTCAAAAATTTTATTTTGAGACAAAGTCTCAGTAAGTTGTTCAAGTTGCCTCAAATCTGCAATCTCCCCATCTCAGCCTCCTGAAGTTCTAGGAACAGAAGCATGCACCAGTACACCTGGCAGAACTTTCAAAATTAAGATTCAGTGGGAGAATAAACATGCAGAGAAATCTCCAAAGTACTCATTTTATTTTTTTAATTTCTCCAATTTGACATTAGGGAGTCATCAATCACATTCCAGATAAATGCAATGCCTTCACAGCCTAAGTAACAAAAAAACTTTTAAAATAAATGTTCAAACTATAATAGGGTACAGAAAATTGGCCCATTTATCCTGATTATGTGAAGTTACTCAGCAAACTGATTTTAGCTCAGGAGTTCAAGGACATCAATGCTTAAAGACATGAATAAATGGCTTCTCTATCTCTTTACTTCCAAAGGGAAAACTGATCTTTTATTATTACCAGCTAAGGTATAGAAGAACACTAACTACCAAGTTTATAGGACCTGAATTAATAAGAATGGTCTGACTTGCCAAGCATGGTGGCACACACTTACAATCCTAGCACTCTGGGAAGCCAAGGCAAGAGGATCACAAGATCAAACCCAGCCTGAACAATCTAGTGACTTCATGAGACTCTGTCTCAAAATTAAAAAAAAAAATGTTTAAAAAGGCTGAGAATGTAGTTATGTGCAAAGGCCCCGCATTCAAACCCAAGTACCAAAACACAATAGCTTGAATTTGTATAATATCACAAAATTTACTAAGACAAAACCTCTACTATGCAAGAAGTAAAGTTCTTAGATATTTAGAGATGGTTTACCCAAGTAGATGCAGAAAATGGCAAATAGGTCACTTGCTCTAAATTTCAACCTTGGTTTTTCTGCAGGGCAAACCAGTTGTGCTATAAATTCCACATTTCTATCCAGAGAAGAGCTGGATTAGTTATCACCGACTCCAAGACTACTCAAAATCAAGGTCATTTGAAAAAGGTGTAAAAAGAAAAGAGGGAGACAGAAATTATTTCAGAACTGGAGACGAGAAGTTATAAGTCAGTTACCTATTTCTCTGTTTGCTAGTCTCAGGCACGCTTGCCCTAAAATTTTACAAGTGTCACAAAATTTTACTTTATGGGGAGGAACAACTAATTAAATGCCTATCCCACACAACAAGGAAAAAGTCTGAATAAGACAGATTTTAAAAGAAGGGAAAGAAAAGATAGCCACATAGGAAAAAAAAAAAACACCAAAATATCAGGTTCTTAATTTTTTTATAATTGAACAACTTCAGAACATTATGCTTAGTCAGAATATTAACATATCTGCTGCAAACACATCAATCATTATTTGAAAGAGAAGGGTGAAATATAAAATATGATTTTTTTTTGTTTTGTTTTGGTACCGGGAATCCAACTCAGGACCTTGCACTTGCCAGGCAGGAGCTTATGCCACTGAGCTATATCCCCGGCCCCTAAAATACGATATTTTATTATTCCTTATAATTGTTTGCAGCAGAAGTGACTACTACTGCCTAATCACAATTTGTCCACTAAATACCCATTTTCCTTACCTTGTGTCCTTGTCTTCCTGGTTCACCAATTTCTCCTTTAGCCCCTTTATGACCCTAACAAATGCAAAAATAAACAGACATATACATAAATAATATTACATCAGGTCTGACATTGAAAATGGTCAGGAGGCTAAGAAATGACCCTGCTGCCCTAAATCTATCCCCAGGTGCAACTAAGAAAAATGTTACATCACAAAGGAAATCACTGTCTTAAGTGATACTAACACCATCATATGCATCACAAATGACTCTTACTTGAAACACCAGTTTCATTTAATAGGTAAGCACGGTTCTATCATACAAAAGCTCTATTACAAGAGTCACTGAGACTTGCCTACTGTTGCCCTAAATTTCTTCTGAAGTTGGGTTCAGTGCCTTAAGTCTTCGCAAGTACCTATACTTAACTTTCTGAAGTGACAACCCTAATCCAGCTGACCGGGGTGTCCCTGCTTTCTAAGGGCTGAAAATCCTCCCATCGCCTCTGTCCCCACCTCCTTCTTAGAGCTGCAGGGTGGGCTGCCACGAGCCCAGGGTGTCTCCAGATGCCGCCTTTCTGAAGCCATGCAAGTGGCACAGAAAGCTCTCGGGGGTGGCAGGGGCTATGAGATGGAAAGGAGGTCCTGTCCCCTCCTGTCAGGCCACCCGTCTGAGCAGACATGTTCTATAGGGAGAGGCATAAGCCAAGCTGCAAAGCAAACGCTCCAAACTGAGTCTGCCAAAAGTTCTACCACTTGGAGTCTTTTAAGAAGTAAGACCCCAATCTAAACCGAAGTCTTCCATAGCTGAGGGTGCCTGCGAAAACTACCCCTACAGGAAACTCTGGAAAGCCAGTGGCTTGGGGCCCACGGTCTGGAATTTCTCACTCTTTTCAGTGTCAGAGAATAGACAGCAAATGCCACTGATCACCAGCACTGGGTATTTGTTTCTTGGGGTTTTTTATTTGTTTGTTTTGTTTGTATGGAATGTTTCAAAGCGATCACAATGGCAAAGTGAGAGAAAAAACACCTTCAGGAAAATCTCTTTTCCTGTTTATTTTGCAGTTTTTCCAATTCTTTAAAAAGTAAAATAGGCTCAAATACATTAGGTACACAGCCCCCCACCACATCCCACCACTCTTCCTTCCCGCAGGCAACCGCGCCCCTTCCCTGGGGTCTAGCGTCTCAAAAACCCAAAGTGTCCCACCAGCATTTCTCCTGTGAACGCAAACAGGCGTCAGTAATGAAGCACCATGTCTCAAGGGGAGCACTTGTCGCAGGCCCCCGCCAGAAATGCCACTCTGAATAACAGTGCAGACTCCGCCCAGAATCAGCAAGCACACACTTCACTAATCTATCCCAGTGGGGTCCCTGCACCAAAAGGCAAGTGCTTGAGGTAAAGGCTCCATTTCTTCTGTGGCTAATACTCTTGAAAATAAAATGAAACTGTCCTCTTACCCTCATGCCGGGTAGGCCTGGGTATCCGGAACGACCTGGTGGGCAGGCATTAGGACACTGCCAGGAGAGAAAATATAAACTAGAGCCTCCACTTTGTGATAAGGTAGAATTTTTACAAAGAGTTGAGTTTTAGAATCCCCATGAAATTAGTCATTAAATAATGCTGACTATCCCTTTCATTTATTTCATTTTTAAACTCACAAATATATCTGGCTTCCCAGAAAAATACAGAACATACAAGTACCCTCCCATGTATTCACTATTCAGATTGAAGAAATGGTAATATTTTGCCATATCTTCTTAATGTATTGACCACAATATTTATAGGCGACAGATTGTACCATGACCCTCTACCAGGATAGCCTTTTCCTGAGGTTGATACCTGCACACCAAATGGCCCCAAATTGCATTTAGTAGAGTTTAATACCATCACTATCAATAAAATTTCTCCTAAAATTGGAATACTCTAGTAAAAAGCATGTCTTCACCATAGAGCTAAAAATTATAGAAAAGCATATATATCTGCAATGAAACACTGCTATAGTCTACATTCAAGCCACCCACCCTCCAGTCCTACCAGTTCTCTCGCACCTGAATAAAAATACACAGAAGCATATTCCATATTGATAATTTTAAAGACAACTCATTGGAAGACTACCCAGTCTTTGAGTTAAAACTATGTTTTTGTTTTTGTTTTTTTTTTCAAAAAAAAAAAATCTTACCAGCGGATCTCCATCATGAAAGCCAATTGTTCCCTGAAGTAAATAAATATTACAGTTAAGAATATAATTAAATAGTTAATTCAAACCTAATAGTAATGGCAAGTCCACTAGGCAAAAATATACTAAGTATATTTGTTCCCTAAAATGCAAGGAAAAAATAGCAGCAGACAACATGCTAATATTCCAAAAGCTTAACTCATGCACAAATTCCTTTTGAAAACTGCTAAACTGCACAAGATTACTTTTGGGGGGTGACTATAAGGCGATGAAATGCCAAGCAGAGTAGAAACTAGGGAATTCTGACATGTAGATTAAAAATATGGTTACCTCTTATTTAAACTCCTATTTTTGAGTTGTTACTGTGACTAGTTCCTTTGAAAATGTTTCTTTTAAATGCCAAAGTTTTGAGCATTTGAGAAATCACAAGTGTCAAAGACTTCAAGTGCAATGAGTGAGACTTGCTTTGTGAAAGCCACCTCTTAAATTTCTTTTCTGTCTTTAAAAAGAGCAGCACTCTGAGCACATGGAAAAATCCATAGTTGTTTTGGGGATGTTAAAACAATGACTCAACTAACAGGTGCTTCAGGCTTGGTTTCTTGGGTTTCCTCAGCCCCTGCGCTAAGACACGAGGAGAAATTTAAGCTGTAGATAACTTACACTGGGGCCCGGGGGGCCGGGAGGGCCAGGTGGTCCTCTTCTCCCAGGGTCACCCTAAATCATTGAAAATTGTGACATGGTGGTTACTCAAACGGACAATTTCACAGTACCTAAAGCCAAAAGCTGGTGAGGCATGATAGAACAGCTTCCCTCAAAAGCCCTGCAGAGCTCAGTCATGCATAGATAGACCTGCCAATGAAGTCCAATTTGCCCCACAAGACCAGGACAGTAAATGAGTTCTAGTTTCATCCAGGTATAAAATAAAGCCAAAGGAGGCGTGGGGGAAAAGCAAAGCCAATTTTTCTCGACGGGATGGTCACTTTATCTACTCTGAAAACAAACCAGTAACCCTATGTATTTTTTTTTGGTTGAGTCACAGAGGAACTGGAACAGCAGATGGTGCTAGTGTCACTCAGCTACCAGCAAAAGAAAGCCCTTCCCCCGCCTGGAGCGATGGCCTACAGGTTCCCCGCTGCAAAGCCTGACTCTTGCTGCTACTGGGCACAAGGTCTGTCCCCTGGTCTGTCCCCACACTCTTGAAACAGACAGAAAAGCAAACACAGCTGAATTCAAATAAGTTATTCGGATTAAAATAGGTTCCGATTACTCGTAACATTCAGGGTTTACCCTTGGCATGTTTGCATTCTTAATGTTCTACATCAGAAAAGCCAGGTGTATCTTGCAATTATTTTGAACATACAATCATTTCGTTCCACTCAGTGGTTCAAATTTCACATACATTTGCAAACAGCACGCATAGAGCAGCTCAACATGTGTGTAACACATGACTTCCTCCTTCTGCAAATTTATAATCACCTACCTTCTCATAAAATCAACACTTCAGTATTTATGAAATGTTTACTGACTATCCCCACAAAGCAATTTTATCAGGAATTTGCTCTACGAAGTTCAGCTCCTTAATGTTTACAGTTAAATTCTGATTATCTGTTAACAGTCCATAGACATGTAGCTATAGATGATTCAGATACAGATATTCATAGATATCTCTAAGCTGTTTTGAAATTTCATGTGGAAAGCCTAACACACAAACCACTAGACCCCAACTCTAGCACAGTGTTTATAAAATAGGAGTAGCACTTTTTACTTAACACTCAATCTCAATGTTGGGAAGAAAAGTTTAGCTCAAAACTTCAGGTAAAAAATTAAAATCAGTCAGGAACAATGAGGTATATTACTTCTGACCCCCATCAACATTATGAACTGGAATAAAATCCATGTGCAGTTTTTGGTTTGCAGGAGGAAGCAGAGAGTCTGGTTAATTTGCTTCCACTAGCAACACCTTTTACTAGATCAGCAAATGTCTATGAAAATATACTGTGGTACTCACAATTGGTCCTACACGGCCAAGCTCTCCAGGGAGTCCTGCTGTCCCAGGAGGACCCTGAAGGCAACAAATCACAGTGACAATGTGATTTATGGATACTCTGACAGTCTATCATAACTGCTGTCAGATATGATAAATGACAGACTTAGGATTATGTGCTTGTGTTAGCTTTAGTTTCCAATAGTTTGATAACTCATTTGACCTACCTTTACTTAAAATAGGACAGAAATCTCATAAATTAATAGATATTTTGTTTAGCAGACCAGGGATGTTACTGTTAGTAGTAGCCACTTAAGATTATACAGATCCCATTAACTGCACTAATTAAAGCATCAGTTTAAGAGTAAGGTTAGAAGTTAAGAGATATAACATAGCTATACTACTGACTTCTGTCACTTTACTGAGAGGAACAGTTAGTGATTACTTATTTGATCAATCTTGCGTGTCTCTATTTGTTTTCCTGAGAAACCACTTTGAAGATATCAATACATAATACAGTAACTATTGTTAATTTCCTACCACTTTGTCTGTAACTCTGTATTGCATGTATTGTTCTTATGCTATTTTGTAAATGGACGTCTGTTAATATGTTTTCCTTCTTTGATTTTTTAAAATAAATTAAATTTATAGTAAAAAAAAAGTGAAGAAATAGGCCATTTTCATAGACTATGTAAAAATAAATGATGAAATGATACTTACTGGGGGGCCAGGAATACCACGGCCCTAAAAGATTAAAATAAAAATGTTATGGCATGTGGTTTACACTTAGTGTAAATGCAGACACAGACATAACTCAATACAATAACACACCATAAACTCTAACACTAAAAGAAATATATGATACACAGTCTAAAAAAAACCACTGCATAAGAGAAAAAAGCAAACACGGCTCTGCAAATTCCCTATGATGAATGTTATCATTACATATACCTAAAATGTACCAATAAAAAAAAAGAAGGTTGCAGCTTGGAAAAAAATAAAACAAAATAAAGAGAAGCTGGTGTAAGCCCCTCAGACATTCTCATGATGTCTGTGCTCATATTTTTCTAAGCTATTTTAAAAGAAAATCAAAGAAGCTATCTACTTGCCCTCAATGTTGTTCATGTTTTGTAATGGGAGAACTTACCATTGCTCATAAAGGCGTACATCTCCACCAAAGAGTCTATAGATTTTATTCATTTGTAGTTTTATCTAAGACATCTACATTGAAGACAATATAGTTCTGCAGTTTACAATAAAAGATTTTAGACATTCCCAAATAAGCAACCAGCACAAGGGAGAAAGGCAGGAGGTAAGGGGTCAGAAACACTTCTCTCTTTGATAAGGAGGCTATATTTTAGGCGCTAAATCTAGTAAATAGTTAAAACAAACTTGTGTCCCTCCTGAAGTAGCCTACAATGGGATCCTAATTTACTATGCTATTGATTTTAAAGCTAGTCAATCTATCTCCCTCTCCTTTACCCTTTGTATCGCTCTATCACCCCCAGACAGCACATACAAATTATTGAAACTATTCCTTGTCTCCTTATCTCCGATTTCTAGCACTGGATCTGCTGTGTCAAACTTAAAACTGAATATTATAACTACCTAGAATCCCTGTTCTCTCTTTTTGCTGTCTAATTTCAATTTTTCCCTTTGGGATCTCTCATTATTCTTTTTCTTTCATGGGTTTGAATAGCCTTTGTTCACCGATGTCTGTGATATCATTTGTATACTAGCTTATCAAGCCAGACTTAGTTTTCTAAAATATAAAGTGTCCTATGGAATCAACAAACACCCTCTGAGAAGATATTATTTCTAGTTATTTAGGCAACCAAAACAACTAGGAACTCCACATGGGCTGGATGCTTTAATAATAAGTGGAGTTTTTCAAAACATTCTTTGAACATTTTTATACATAGGTTAATTGGGGAAATAGTTGTATGCTTGAAAATATTGGCCAATAAATTACTTCATTATCAGAGACCTAGATGTTCATGAAATTTCACTAGCTATGAAAAAAGGAATCTATATAAGATGTTGAGACCTGAGCTCAAAAATATGAAAGACCAGCACACTGTTCACTTCTGAAACGGGCTTATAATGGAAAAATGGAGAGATGCAGAAATAAAGTAGGCAGTACAAATAAGCAAAAGAAATGAGAAGAAGCACAGATTAATAACAAGAGCCAAAGAGAGAGAGTGAGAGAGACAGAGAGACAGAGAGAAACAGAGACAGAGACAGAGAACTAGAAAGGAAAAGTAGCCTAAGAACCCAGTCCTCTTATACCTACCAATAACATAAACCTGAGGGGTTCTACTGTGTAGGGAGAGGCTAACCAGGCTATCAGGCAAGCGCTATTATCTCCTTAGTGGATCTTTTAATAGAGCTACTGGTGAAGAGTGGTGGGATTAAAGGTTTACACACTGAATACTCATCTGCTATTGTTACGCAAGTACTGATTTCTATCAGTAAAGCAGAGGAGTTGTCTATAAGTGCCACCTGAAAATAGGTACATGTATTTTAAACAGTACAATCAAAGTTCTCTAAAATGTTTCTACTCACAGCGTGGGAATTCTTACCATACCAGGTTAGTCCTTAAACCCTTTGTAATTTATATTATATAGAAAACTGCACAAAAATTTTCACACTAGCAGAATTTTACCTAAAGATAGATTTTCAGTTTTGTTACTTCACTGTTACTTACTGGGAATCCACGAGATCCAGGCACACCAGGTTCTCCCTAAAAATAAAAACAGCTTCACTGTATTTAGCTTTTTGTGTCATGAATATGTAAACAAGCAAACTGCATAAATATTGGAATCCCTAAAACACTCCATCCTGGCATTTTAAAGCACAACTCTGGCTGAAAAAGTACATCAGCTGCTGCATAGCTTATGTTAGTTGATCCAAAAACACTGCAATAAAATTTACTTTAGCATTTTATTAATACCAACAATTAATATTACATGGCCAACTTACTTTTTGTCCCCTTGGTCCAACAGATCCAGGGGATCCATCAGGTCCTGTTAATCCCTAACAAAGCAAGATCATGATGTTAGAACTATCATAACACCCTTTGGCAATCCACTGGGTGAAAACATTCTATTTTATTTGTTAATTTTCTGCAGGTCGCTGCATAAGTATAATGCCAGTATTTATAAGTAATGCCTTCCTATATTTTTACTCAAAGGTAACATTTAACATGAGATCTGCCTGCTATTTATTTTCTATTGATGAATTCTATCGTATTCCTAACTTACTGCTTATTGCATCATTTGTCACAGGGTTAAATAATGTAGCAGTTTTTCTATTTTGAGAAAACACAGTAGAACATTTCTATTGTTCTGATAACTAAGTCTGATTGTCTCACCCAGGTTTATGAACCTCTTTTATTTCATTTATAAAATAAAAACACCGTGTGGCTCTAGCTACAGGACAATACTGTCTTGAAAGTTAATAAAATGTTGCCTCAATAGAATTAAGCACAAATAATTTCATTGTTGTCTAATAGCCACCAAAGCCCTTGAGCTATCTTCTAGCAAAGACAACTGCTTCATGAAGAACATTAACTCTGAAGTCACATTATTGGAGTGCATGCATTTGTCTATATTACTTTCTTTACTTAAAAAAAAGAAAGGCCTAGTCAAGAATGTATGTTCACAAATACCACTTCCTGTGTATCTTTTAGCCTAGTACTATAAAATACACTTATAGATATCATGTTCAATACTAAAGCAGTTATTAAATATATCTTCTGAACATTATCATTGTTTCTACAAATACTTATTTTTATCATCATCCCTCAGTATAAAATAGATCTGAAAACATGATATACCTGTATAACCTGAATTGCTACATTTGGGGAAAATGTGTGTTTTTGCTTGTTGCTTCTCATTGCTTTGTTTTGCAAGTTAATATTGGAAATATACCTCCCTAAAGATAAATATGAGTATATATATAGGTCATATATATATATATATATGTTTTATGAAACCTTTCTATTATTAACATTTTTAAAAAGACCCAAGTCATACTGAGGGAGCAATCTATTAAAAAATATGAAAGTACTACTTTAAAATGGGCCATCAATTCATATTTAGAGCCAAGCATGATGGCTCACATCTATGACGCCAGAACTCTGGGCAGCTGAGGCAGGAGGATTGCAAGTTCAAGCCCAGCTGGGGCAACTTGTGAGTTAAAAAGATCCTGTCTCAAAACAAAGTCAAATTTAGTCAGTCATAGTGTGCATAACAATCAATAAAATACATCCATGTAATTCATATACAATAAGCTCATTGTCTATTATTTTTATATTTCTCTAAATCAATTTCCCTAACTATTCCAAAGTGCAACTCAAAAACAATCAGCTGGGGTACACTCCAGTAATCCCAGTACTTGGGAGGCTGAGGCAGGATGATCATGGGTTAGAAGGCAGCCTAGGCTCCATAGCAGGACACTATTTCAATAAATAAATAAATAAATCACAAAAAATGAGAGCAAAAGAGAGAGTGAGAGAGATTATTATTCTCCCTCAATCAAAATATTGATTACTGGAAATTGACCAAGGAATAAAAATATAAACACAAACAAAAAAATAATTTTTGCCAGACATGGTGGCACATGCCTGTAATCCCAGTGTTCAGGAGGCTGAAGCAGGAGGATCACTGTGAGTTCAAGACCAGCCTGGGCTAAAAAGTGAGTTCAAGTCCAGCCTGAACTGCATAGTGAGACCCTGTCTCTCAAAAAAAAAAAAAAAAAAAGAATTTTTGCAGATTGTTTTTGATTTCCAATTGTCCTAGCCTACTTACAACACTGTAATCTGGGAATAAGGCCAAAGATCATTAGTTGCTGAGCATCAGTGGTAATAGAATGTTTGCTCTTGTACTTCACAAAGAGACCACACATCCCAGAGCATTCTCTGGAAGAACAGATGGCCCCTAAATTTTAGAAACCTCCAGGCACATTTAACCAAGGATCCTCTAGTTTCCCCTTAGTGCATATACAAATCCTAGTCAATTTTCCCAGTGTAATCAACTAACCTTCTTTAACCAGTGACTAGAATGACTGGTAATGTGAAAGCATACTAACTGCCATAGTAATGAAACAGAACCCAGGAAATTGGTGGCGATCAGGAGACCATTTCCTAGTCACTTCATGCTTAAAATATCCTCCACAGGACCTGAGAAATGTTGTCTGTCAGAAACTCTTTGAATTCAATGGTAAATGAATTCTGGTGACTGAGGTGAAGTCTGTTATGAAACAACTCAACAGGAATATGTGACCTCTAGGACGACAAAGACTCTATGGCCCTCGGGGTTCAGGCATAGTGCTCTGGCATGTGATACCCTGAATGTGCAATTACAGACTCAAATTAATGTAGGTCGGCCTTTTCGGTGAGGGTATGTTGCACTTGTCCTTCAGTATCATCTTTTGGGGGGGCTCAAACCTTGACTCTACCACTTCATTGCTGTACAACTCTGGGCAGGCTGCTTATTGTATAGTATTCTAAATCCTGCGCTTCCTTCAGAAAGGGATCTTAAACAAACTCACAGCACTCCAGCTACTAAGCACAGCACTGTCTCTTGACCTCTGCACACTGGTCATTCGCACAAACACTGACCCTTCAGGATAATTTCTGGACCTCGCTATCCTGGTCTTGGCTATCTTCCAGGGGTAAAGTGTGTGTATGTACATTCAGAGCTATGTAGCCTCTTGCCTGTAAATGGTAGCATGGTTTAACCATAATTTCTATACCTAATTCTAATTCCTCTTCTACCTGTCTCTTATGGCTCCAACAAGAGAGTATAAAATACTATTTACAGATCTCTCCATGCATGTCACAATAAATAGCACCTGTAAGAAAATCTCTATTGATATTGTTGATGATAATAACACAGCTTTTCCTTGGGTGCAGGGTTATTAGCAAGCTCTGACGTCTCTAATTTTCTACAAAGATAAGAAGCAAACTTAAAAGAGAAAGAAAAAGAGACATTTGAAACATGTATTTACACCACACACACACACACACATACACACATACATACACACACACATGCACATTTTCCAAGTCCAACTTGCAATAAAACTAAATTTTGTTTCAAAGAAATTACGGAGGAAATGATCACCCATGGCCAAGAGAATTGCCTTCGTATGCATGTTCATGTGCTCTGTTCTACGTGGGACAAGATTAAAGCTGGCTCCTGAATTTTCTTGTGGCTTTTATCAGGAATACCAGTCATCAGTAGTGGTTTTCCTTCACATTGTAGCCTCTTTTATAGCGTAGCCACTTTGACTGTTTTACTTTTTCTGCCGAAAATCCCCACAACATAGGAAATAAACTTTGAACAGTGCTCATTTCAGATTCCCCCAAATATCACCCAATTTACAATACATTAACATTATCAGAAAACAAGCTTTGCAATGAACCAAAGAGTAGCAGACAGAGAGACTGGGGGTTTAAGGTCTACAGGTTAACTTTCAAGAAGGGAATTTGGAAGTTTTCCTACTTGCTAGCTCACTACAGCCAAATGCAGCAATTGGACTATTACTACTGCATTGTTCTCAAGCTGTGCATTCTCAATTTAGAGTGAAGAACAGTATCAAATCAACCACAGAATGAAGTAAGAAACTTTTTGGTTCCAGAATTCCTATGTGGCTCCAAGTTAAAAGTTATAGAATATGAAACATATCAATATTTATTAAAAATCATTAAATATCAATTATAAATCATTTTAATCCATATTATTGCACTTGATTGGTAACTTAGGTATTAACAACTCACAGTCACTTTTCTCTGTAGTCTAATTCTTATACTTACCTATTTAGTAAGAATCACCTCTGTACCTAAACAAGGTGCGTCTAGAGCATCTTAAAAATCAAGAAATATGGATGCTTTGTTTTCTTAGCTACTGAATAACTACTCTAGGTCCAGGAAAAACCACTTGTCCTTCCGTTTCTTTATGTGTGGAAAGTAGTATTAAACTAACCTACTTTCTAGGTTATTGTAAGGCTAAAGGGAACAGTAAATATGACAATAAGGAGGGAAAAGCTATGAACAAATGCAAGTAGTATAGCTAATTTCCCCCTACATCTAAGAAATACCTGAAATTCTGGGACATATATACATTTTCTCCTTTTTCTTTCCTTCCTTTTCTTTCTGTTTTTCTATTGATATCTTCTTCTGTTCTAGGAGACTGACACAATGTCCTCATCAACTTCTCCCTGAGGAACTTTCAGGGTAAAGCTGAGGGATCTAAGAAATCTTATTCTTCTACAACTTTCAATATTTGAAATGTGCTTCCCCGCCCCCTCTAGGACTGCAAAGATAAACAGTAACAAAAAACACCTGGTGATTGTTTTGACATTGTACTTCTGTGAAGTTCAAGGCACTTTCATTTATCAAAATTTCAGTTAAAGTGGGGAAACTATAAACAAAACCAAGCATTGCTTTTATGATGCTATGATAGGCAACAAAGAGTGTTTCAAGCAAAAATACCACTAAACTGAGGGATAGATTAAGTCCAGCCCTCTAGCTGAAATTATATTCCAGCTCAATAGCAAAAAAAAAAGCCTTGAGATGACCAGTTTATGTTTCAACTACCAAAAGTTGTAAAAATTTAACTAGAAATTTTCTTTTCATGTAAAACGAAAGGCTGGTAATGCATATGCCTGTAACACCCACTGCTCAGGAGGCTGAGACAGGAGGATTTCAACTTTCCAAAACAGCCTAGGCAACTCAGCAAGACTCCTGCCTCAAAACACAACTTTATAAAAAGTGTGAGGATGTAGCTCAGAGGTAGAGCACTTGCCTAGTATGTGTGAGGCCCGGAGTGCAATTCCCGTGTTCTACAAAAAATTTTATATGACTGGCTGCACTTCAAAGGAAATATAGAAATAAATTCAACTCGTATTAGGCTACTAATTTATTTAGTGGCCTCGTATTCATCCAACATTTTTATAATATAGCAATCTCAAGTAATTCAGTTTCAAAGAGCTTGACCACCAAGTTACAAAATTCCAGTTTGCACTGTCCAGATATTAGTCTAATGCTCAGTTTGCATTCTCCAAATTTTAGTCCCTGGGTGCCTCCGGCACCGACACTTCCACATACAGAAAATTCAAACTGCAAGGTTTGAAACGGAAAGCAAAGCCTGTATCCTAAGGAGCTAAATGATACGGAAAGATTCCCCTGCGGTGGTAATCCTGACGGAGACAGCGTGTCTTAGAAACAGGTAAAATCCCGCTGTATTATTTCTTTCCAACCAAAGAGACTATTTTGGACCCCCGGTCAAAACTTCTTAGAAATTATAATCTTAAAGTCTGGGGTGCCTTCTTTCATTTAGGAAACCCTGTAGATCTTGGAAAACACATGAAGTGGTACCGAACGGGCAAGGTAACCAGAGGGGGGTGGTTTTCTGAGAGCAGATGCTACTTCCGACCTCACCAGGACAAGCCCAGTGGAAGGGATGGAGCTCGAGCGTCCTGAGGTCGCCATGTCCTTGACCACACAGCTCAGCATCTGGGCTTCCGGGCAATGCAGGCACAGGTGGGTGCCTTGGAGGGAGGTCTCTGGTTCTCAGTCTTCAAGCAACCCTGAGCCAGCTCATTTCCCTCAATAAAGCCAGCCACGAAGAAGGGAAAACTAGCTTTGGCTTTCCTAGCTGTGGGGGTTCCCCTCCCTCGCCCTGCCCTTCCGCACCTCACAGCACCTTCACTCCCTTCAAGCACACTTCCTTTCCTCTATTCCCTGGGACTGAAGATTCCTCGGCCCCCGCGTCCGCCTGCAGGTGCTCAGATAACGTCAGGTAACGTCAGGTAACGTCAGGTAACGTCAGGTAACGTCAGGTAACGTCAGGGAGGTCCAGAGCTAAAACTGCCCAGCCGTGCGCCCTAGTGGCGGAATCCACAGCCTCAGTCCGCAGCCAGCCCTCACCCGCTCCTTCCTCACAGCGATGCGGTGGGGAGGAGAGCCAGGGCAGGACCGGCCGGAGCCTGTCCGGGGTGGTTCCTGTCCTTTCCCTTCCCCTTCCCCTTCCCCGTCCCCTTTTCTCTCCTCCCCTCCCCCACTCCAATCTCCTCTGACAGCTGCTCAAGTTAGGGACTCGCTCACAACCAGGCTCTGGGCCACAGATGTTCTCTCCCCTGCCCTCCCGCTGCCCCCTCCTCTGCTTCCCTTCCTCTCTACCCCTCTCCTCTTCTCTCTTCCAATGCTTTTCCCAGCAAACCACACACACACACACACACACACACACACACACACACACACACTACTCACACACACACTCACACACAATACTCACGTCGGCGCCCGGAGTGCCGGGCTTGCCTGGAGCTCCTGGCTTTCCGGGTTCACCGGGAGGACCCTGAGCAGGACGGGACGAGGCAGGGAGAGAAAAGGGTACAAAGTTGAGACTCTGGAGACGCACCTGGCCGGAAAACTTATCTACAGGAAGGAAGTGGCGCCTTCGCGTGGAAGCACTTACCGGGGGACCTGGGGGACCTTTGGGACCTCGGTCGCCCTGAAGGACAGAAGGAAGGAAAAGCGGGAACAGCCGTGAGCTGGAGAAGCTGGGGTCCCAGGCGTGATCCCCACGACTGTCTCTTGGGGAGAACCCCCAGGTCTCCGCCCCAGGTCCCACCTCGTGTCCCCGCAGGGCCCGACCTCCAGGGGAGCGGGCAGGGGGGAAGGGCAAGGCTGGGGGTGGGTAGGACAGATGGGACTCACGTCGATGCCGTCGATGCCCGGAACTCCAGGGGGCCCGGGGGGCCCGGGGGGACCCCGCTCTCCCGGAGGGCCTCTCTGCTAAAACAGCACACCGGGGTCAGGAGGGCGGGCCTCCGGGGAGGCTGGGTATTCGTAGCCCAGGCTCACAGAAGTGCAGCCTCCCAAAGGGCCAGGCCCTCCTCTGCGCAGACCGGGCTGGAGCAGGTCAGCCTCCTGCCCCAGGGGAGAGGAGTGTGCAGCAGAGAGGCCCCAGGCGCCTTCTCCCAAAGGGATTCGGAAGGAAAAGCGGTGGGGGGAGCAGTGGAGACGTCGATGCAATCAGTCATTGCGAGTTAGTATTTAGTGAGGACGCCCGCTCCAGCCCAGGACGCCGGGGCTGTGAAAGGAACTCTTTCTTTGCCAGTGGGGTGTGGGGAGTCCTTGTGCAAAAGAGCTGGGAGGAACAGAACAGGCCTTGAACCCAGCACTGAGTGGGCCTCCTTTCGGAGCTACCTGCTGTGCCAGCCCGAGCTCGAGGTCTTGCATCTCTTTGCGCCTCACTGCAAAAGGGCAACCCTCGGGAATGACCCCTTTCACCGCCTGCAAACCGTGAGGTTTGAGGGCCCTAGAGGGATGCTGGCACCTGAAGTCTTCCGCGCAAGCTGCTTTGGGGAATGTGAGTTGGTTTGGGTCCCCCTCCCCCGAATTTAAAGAGAGGAAAAAGAAAGCTCCTGTTATCCAGGCAAACTTTGTTTTTCTAAACTCCAGGAACACGCAGGTTACAAAGAGGTCTTTGTCGGTGAAACCTCACACCCCTGCCCGCGGGAGGGACAGCCGAGTCTCAGGGACGCTGCTGAATTTCGACCGGACCAGGGACGCAGGTTGCACTGGGTTCCAACCTCGGAGCCTCCAGCCCTGCAGGCTGGGTTCAGGGGCGCGCTTCACTGTGACCAGGAGGGGGACGCTGAAGCTGAGCCCTGCCTCCAGCCTTCGGGGCCTGGGCCTTCAGCTCTGCGCCCTGAAGAGGTCCCTGGGCCGGCTCAACCGTCCTGCAGAGGATGCCCAGCACCTGCTCCCTGGCACCTCAGGCCTTTGCTGTCGGGCGTGGGGAAAATGCAAACACGTCCTGCCCCCAGCTCACCTCCTCGTCGTCATCGTCCTCGGTACTCCTGCTGGGCTGTAGGAGAAAGGACGGAGGGGGGAGGGGAGTGAGCAGGTGCCCCCACCCCGCCGCAGGACTTACTTGCGCCGCGCCCAGGCAGAGCACACACAGCAGGAGGCGCAGCCCCAGGGCCCCGCAGTCCCTCGCGGTCCAGGCCATGCCCGCCGCCCTCCGCCAGCCCCGGCCTGGCTCTGATGCCTGCTGCCCCTCGGGCTTCGCGATCCTCCACGCGCCCCCAAAAGGTGCCCCCAGGAGTCTGGTTGCAAAGGTGCCCGGGCCGGGACACGTAAGTCCCTTCTGTTTATGAATGGCCCTAGGGAGGGTCCTGGGGATTGGAGGAGAGCTGGGGGCCGGGAGGAGGATAGAATGACAACTGTCCCTCTTAACCCTTTCCCCGCCGCCTCCCGGCCGACCCGGGCCAGGGCTCGGCTTGGCCCACCCACCTGTTGCAGTGTGAGGAGGCCCCTTCCTGCCTGGGCCCGCTCCCCTGTGGACCGGTAGGGCCCCAGGATTTCTGGGGGGAGATTTAAGAGCGGGAATGGGCAGCCCCAAAGAGAAGCAGACACCCGCCTGCGGGGAGGTGGTCTCCACCCGCCGGGCTTCAAGCAGGACCTGTGCTTTCTTCACACCTGCTGGGTCTGGAGTGAAAGCAGACTCCTGAGAGAAAGCAAGCGGGGGACAGGGGCGCGTGAGCAGGCGGCCAAGGGACTCACTGGTATTCTGGCTGGCAGCTCATGGCACGTTTCTCTCGTGGGTCTCAGAGGGTCACAATGGATCAGCATCCACTGAAGTTCAAACTGAAAGGAAGAAGACACTGTAAAGTTGTCTTGGAAGACAGGCGATTATTTAACAGAGGTGAGTTTCTAAGTGTGGTTGAATCCTTAACTTACTGGAATCTAATTTAAATTTGCTGGGCGCAATGGAAAGGACTTTTCCTTGAATACAGATTTTCTAGTGGAGATGGGCTAGAATCACTGGAAGAAGATGTCTTTTGCTCTGAGTTACTCCAGAGTAGCTCTGGCCAGAAAACAGATGCTATAATGACTTCCCATCTCTGCTGTGATCACCTCCTCGAGAAGGAGATCCTATATCATGAGATTTGGGGACAACACAGGACTGATGCTATCACAGGGCAGCATGTCTCAGATGCTGCCCTAGGAACCAGACGTCCTGAAGGCCACAGGACACATAAGCCTTAAGACTTTAGCTGGGAGATTAGAGACAGAGGCAGCAAAAGAGATGACAAATAGGAGAACAAGTAAAAGAAACCGTACTTCTGGGAAAAAATCTACATACTAGAGACAAACATTCCCCATGGAGCAGCCACAGCTTAAAATAGAAAGAGCAAGTGGTAAATCTAGGAATTGGAGATGAAAGATTAAAAATATTTACATTTCATGTAATGTTATTCATTGGTTGAAGATGGTTAAACTCCTGGACCTTGAAATCCAAATGCACCCTGACAAGTCTTACATTTTCAGCAGATATTAAGGGGAAGACCTCTATAACAGAAAAGTTGCCCAGTCCAAATCTGAAGAGTTTCAAGCAGCAAGACCAAAAAAAAAAAAGTCAAATCCCCAAAATGCTTGGAGCCACACTTCTGTCTGGTCTAACTGACAGTGCTCCTTGCTGGACATTTCTAATCAGATCCATAACTCTTGGCCAGAAGATATTACTGGCATTATGTGAATGTTTCATTAAGAATACAGGTGTAAAATCTAAGCACCCTTTCTTTTCTTTCATTAAATAATGCTTCCATTCCTTCCTACCTGCTCAGTAGATTCTAGGTCAGCTAAATCTAGAAAGAAGCAAGATATGTTTTCCCACTGCTATAGAAACATTCAGCATTGAGATTGCTGGAGGGAAGATTGAAACTGGAGATGAGGCATAATGAACTTTTTTCCTTCAACCCATAAAGGTAGGGAAGGTTGAGAAAAAGGAAAATTTCTGCATTACAAACAGGTAGAAGGGGCTGGGGATTTAGCTCAGTGGCACAAGCGCCTGCCTGGCAAGTGCAAGGTCCTGAGTTCGATTCCAGGTACCAAAACTAAATAAATTAAATTAAATTTTAAAAAAACAGGTAGAGAGCCCCCAACTCCCCTGGAACTCTCCTGCTCCACTAGTACTATTTTCTCAATCCCACTATGCCCTTTTGCCTGAAAATACGATCATTTGCAAAACTGGGTCAAGTGAGGTGAAAAAAAAGTGAGCAGCTAAATCAAGACACATTTTAAGATGAAAATGATCCATAAGTTGTATGGGAATTATTCTGACCTGTGTATTCATGGTGTGAATGATGTAAAAGTAGGATGCAAAATAAAACAAAATAAATAAAACAAAAGTAGTAGGCAGAACCCTGCTTTCTAAACACAAGCTCTTACAATTAAGGAAATCACTTTAGTCGAACAACTTATTTTTATAGGAGTAGTCTTACTTGAGAAGAATTTTATTTGTTCTTTTTTTTTCTAAATAGCAGTGAAAATCTTATAAGGAAGATGAACAATAGAATAGAACCAACTTTTTCCTTAATGACTGTTAAATATCTGGCATTTGAAGTCATTCAAATGGGGTAAAGTGGAGCAGACAGGTTAATTCATTCACCACCATCCACACAGCTAGTAAATCTCAGAGATGGCTTTCCAAATTCTCCTGACACTAAAATGGAGGATTTTTTTCTGCTACTCCAGTTGACCTCTCTGAATGATATATTCTGTTACCACAATGAATCATGTCTTTAAAGTAGTTAAATAAGGTATTTGGTGATGGAACATTAACATTAAAGATGAATGGAAAAGCCAGACAGGGTGCCACATGCCTATAATCCCAGCACTCCGGAGGCTGAGGCAGGAGAATCACAGCAAGCTCAAGGCCAGCCCAGGCTACATAGTGAGTTCAAGGCCAGCCTGAACTACACGGTAAGATCCTGTCTCAAAAAAGAAAAAAGGATGAATGGAAAAGAAGAGAGAACTAGAAATGAAACTGTACAAGTTTGTTTCCACCATCTGCTAGAAAACTTCAGAACTACACTAAGAAACTTTCATAAGAATTTGAAGCCTTCCCCATTTTATGTGCCTGTTATAGAAATATATCCAGAAGCAAAATTACTAGTGTTCTCTAAAAGTTGACAGCTGGATGTAGTTACATATCCATGTGTGTAACCAAATATCACATAGAAAAGAGAATTATAGTTCTTTTTCCTCAGTGACTAGATAAGAATTTTGCCAGAATAAGAAAAGATGTTATTCCTCCTTCTCAGTCCTCAAAGTAAAAGGCCACTCCCAATTTTTATTCACTAGGTCCTTTGTGAATTGGTAAATCAAAGTAGGCATGTGTTGTATGTGTGTGATATTTTGATTCTGAAAATGATTCAGACCTTAATCACCCTGAGAGACATTAATTATATGGTTAAGTAGGAAACCTATGTCCTTTGCTTAGACAGTTCGTTAAGTGTACTTACTGCAAATGTGAAGTGATTCTCAAAAATGTAATTCTGTCTAGATAAAATGGTCCACCTGCTTAAATATGCAAATGTAATTGTGGCAGGAAATAATGGGGAATGTAATGTAATTCATCTGTGAACACAGGCTGGGTTGTTCAAAGTGCCACATAGATCAAGGGTTTCTGAACACATCTGCGCATCCGCATAAACACCACCTACACACTAATAATCATCTATTCGACAACCATTTTTTGGCGTGCAGTGTGAATTCCAATTTGCATGCTATTTTGAAGGAGGACTAGCACAGTGCTTTGACAAAAGTCACTTTCATTATACAAATAAAATGCTGATCTCCACACGTTTCTCATTTTCATACCTGGACGCGTTCTTCTCTTTGAACACTCACTGACAGAATATATGTGACAAATATTTTAATTTAGTATTTCAGTCAACATTTTTGAAAGCCTCAAGCAAGCCAAGCTGTAAGGAAACATTCTAGGAAAACTGAAGATATTCGCCTTCCCACAATTAGTTTACAAATTGTAAGATGAGAAAAATACAAGTAGAGAAGGGAAATGTTTTTAGGACTACTAAGCAGAACATAAAATACCCTAGAAAATATCTTCCTCAACACAAGATGCTTTTCCATTGTCTCAAGGAAAACTGAATGGTGTGAATGTAAAGTGCTTTATATTTGTCCAGATTTGGCATTACCCAGCGCCTTTCTATAGGACACTAAGATTCTTCATTTCCAAGGCTAAAATTATGCCCATCTGACACCACATTTAAGCAAGGACTACTCTACCCATCACTCTACTCTTTTAATGAAACTAGTGATTTCTACTTATTTTGCTACTTTGTTAAGAAAAATTAATGAAGTATTTAAGGTCCTCTTAAGAATTAATCAAAAACCAACTGCAAGCAATTATTTTTCTCCTCCCAAGAGAATATTTTAATGACAAACTGTGAAACTTGGCATACGGCTTAAATTTTTCCTAACTGAATTACGATTAAATTTTGTAAGTACAAAACACCTAATAATTAGTTCTGCTGAGAAAAATTTCTTAACAGAACCTAGGCTTACTTAAACTGTTGTGTACATGGTAGAAATAAAGATTTAAATAAATACTGGACTTGAAATCTCAGATCTCATCTCCTGCCTTTCAGTTTATGAACGTTATGGTTTGTGTCTGCATGTCCCCCCAAAGCCTCATCCAGTCATGGGGTGGACTTTTAGAATTTATGATTGATCTACGATCTAATGCTGGGATTGTAGGTGTGAGTGCTACACCTGCCCTGGGGCGATAGTTTGCATATATAAGGAAGAGAAAGAGGAGGCCCCTCGGCCATTCATCCTTTTGCTCTTGTTGCTTTTGCTGTGCTCCACCACCATGAGTGGTTGCCCACTGCTATGTGCCACTCTGCCTTGGAGCCAGCCAAGTGTGGACTGAAACCTCCACAAACTGTGAGCTAAATAAAACTTTCCTTCCTTAATTTTGGGAGTCAGGTATTTTGTCTCAGCAATGAAAGAAAAGTAACCAGGACAATGAAAATGAAGAAACATTGGTTTCTATCATTATAAAGGACTTCCTTTAAGTAACCTTCCTAGTGAAGGAGTGGGAGGCATTGCACTGCTCCCCAATTAGAAATTTCTCCAACTCTAAACCATGCAGTTACAGACATAGTGCCAGGAATGAATTAAGTATGAGTAGGCAGCACAATTCACTCCTGGACTGTACCAGAGGCTGAGGTGGAAAGATGAAAAGGAAAGCAGTAGACTTAGAGTTAGCAAGAACATAGTCATTTACTTGTTCAACATACCTCTACACAGCACATTCATGTGCTCTGGGATAAACAATATGGAAGACACAAATAAGCCAAATGTATGAAGCTCTTGATGATAAATAATGTATAAGTAGATATGGCAGGAATAGTTCCCAGGCTAAAGTCCCCCATGAAGAGAATATGCAACATGTAAGAGGAGCCCTCAGAGCGATTAAGATTTTCATAAGCTGAAATGTAGGCGATGACGTTAGGATCCCACAGACAGGGAGAAGCACAAGTGCAAGGGTGGGAGTGTTATGGAGAGGAGAGACCAGGTTAGGTGGGCCAAAGTAGACAGCAGATTTTTTTTCACCTTGAATTCCAAGATAAGATATTTGACTAACAGTGGGTTTGTGATTGTTGCTTCATAGGCAAAGATTGTCCATCAAGGGTTAGGGATGGGCAAAGAGGAGCTTATTTAGAAGAACATTTCAAGAAGGTTCACTTGATCATAAACACGTGAACCTTTGAGACACAGGAGGCTGCTGTAGAAAAGTATAAAGAAGACGTAAACTCTAGATTATGATGAAGCAT